GAAGGTCCTGTCTGTGAAGGTTTCCTCCGGGTGCTACGGTTTCACTAAAAAACATATACAATAGCTCTTGTATGCCTCCTGTGACCTTGCTTCCATCACTGTGTGTCTTGAGAGTAGAAATGTCCGCAACAATTGTAGAGTGCAACATAAATGTTTTCCCAAAGTACAAATGTATAATGTATATACATTCTTGACTTAAATCGTTTTGGGTTTTTTTAAACCTCTGTTGACAAACACATTTTAAAATGTTTAACAAATTATGAAAAACGATTAGATTGATTGGAATGCCTTTGGTTGGAAACTGTTTTCAACTTTCTTCTTCCCACAGCATTTTTGGGCTTCGACAAGTGTGAAGTGAACAAAGTAATCCTTAAAAAGCATGTTAGAATGTGTGTTCATATGTACTGTAGATAATTATATTTTTGTATAATGTATGATATCTAAATAATTACAATAATTAATTCCTGTTTATAAGCTTGAAAAAAAACAAATGAATGAATGAAATGAACAGTATTTACTTGTATTCAACTTTTGTGTAACTTTACAGATAAGTTATCTATAATACTTGAGAACGGAAAAATAAACAGAAAAAAATCTTCATTTTTACAAATGGATTGCCTCTCCACAAATTAAGTCATGGTCCTGAATTAACCTGAAATGCTCCTCAGTGGCTTGCCTGTATGATATATGATGTACAGAAGTAGCATATGAGAATAAGTGAGGCAAGGAATAACAGACGGGAAACATAGAAGTTGAAGGAAGTCTTTAATTCATGGACCAAGTGTGGACAGAATCTCCTTATAATATATTGTACTGGGTTTCTTTCTCTGACTTCTTTAACAGGACGGTGGTCTTATCCAATAGGAAATACAAGACATAGACTGCTTCACCATAAGAAGACCTCTGTAACATCTGCAGGATTTCCAGCGCTCAGAAAGTCCAGCTCATGTTGCATTTTTAGCCTAAGTTTGGTGTACATAACGTGCATTACATTGCATTTTAACCCAAAAGATGGCGCCTCGTACGGTCGACACGGCTCTTTGCTGCTCTCTTTTTCTTTTGATTTTACTTTTTAACTGCGCATCTGGTTGTTCCTACACCCGTGAGGAACTCATGAACATCCGACCCACCGTTCCCATGGACCTATTGACTGTTTTCTTGGCATCTGCGGCTGATTTAGTCCATGTTCTAGCCAAAAAAGTGTGGGCCCGTAAAAGTGGAAAGCGTGGAGGCCTGCTTGTGCGTCTGAGGAGGAGAGGAGCACGGCTCTCCCGGCATTTTTCTCTCCAACGTACGCTCACTGGGCAATAAGACGGACGAACTCAGCCTGCTCATGAGAAGAAACAAGGACTTCATCCTGTGTCCTCTGCTTCACTGAGACCTGGCTAAATGAGCGGATCCCGGACTGCGCTCTGGAGCTGCAGGGTTTTGGGCTGTTCCACACGGATCGCCATTGTGCGCTCTCAGGGAAGAGCAGAGGCGGAGGGCTGTGTTTCTACGTCAATACAAACTGGTGTAACGATGTGACAGTGATCTCCAAGCACTGCTCTCCTGCTCTGGAATATCTTTTCATTCATTGTAAACCATTTTACTCCCCTCGTGAAATTCTTTTATTCATTCTTGCCTCTGTTTACATACCGCCATGCGCGGACGCAGAGCAAGTACTGTGTATGAAAGGTTTATACCCGGACTCTCTGATTATTATCCTGGGGGATTTTAATAAGGGAAACTTGAGCCAGGAATTACCCAAATACAGACAGTTTATCAAATGCCCGACCAGAGAGGAGAACACTCTGGATCACTGTTACACCACTGTGCGGGGTGCTTTTCGCGCTGTTCCCAAGGCAGCCCTCGGTTTCTCAGATCACTCCATGATACATCTGATCCCGGCTTACAGACAGATGCCACAGATAGTTAGGATGAATACACGGACACTGTGACGTCATACATTCACTTCTGTGAGGATAGCATCATTCCAACAAGGACCAGGGTCATCTACAACATTGATAAACCCTGGTTCACTGCTAAACTCCGGCAGCTCAGGAAAGCAAAGGAGTCTGCTTTCAGGGAGGGGGACCGCAGCGGCTACAAAGCAGCTAAATATCAGTTCAGGAAAGAACTGAAAGCAGCCAAGTCCCGGCACAGAGAACGACTACAGGAGCAGTTTGGTAACAACGATACTGCTTCTGTCTGGAGGGGCCTACGGGAGATCACCAACTACAAACCCAAAGCCCCCCCCTGTGCTGACGACCACAAGCTAGCTGACAAACTGAACTTATTTTTCAGTCGCTTTGATGCTGCCCCTGACACCTCTCCCTCCCCCCCCCCCCACTACTCTAACGACCCACCCATCAGCCCTGCCCCCAGCCTAACAATAGCCTCTAAAGAGATTAAACAACTCTTCTTGAGGCTGCACCCCCGCAAAGCTCCTGGCCCGGACCACGTGTCTCCGGCCACTCTGAGACACTGCGCCAGTGAGCTTACTCCTGTGTTCACTGACATTTTCAACACCTCTCTGCAGTCCTGCCATGTCCCGGCCTGCTTCATATCCTCCATCATTGTCCCTGTCCCGAAGAAGCCCAGGATCACAGGACTCAACGACTACAGACCTGTAGCACTTACGTCTGTCGTCATGAAGTCATTTGAACGCCTGGTTCTCTCCCATCTCAAGTCCCTCACCTCCCCCCTCCTGGAACCCCTGCAGTTCGCCTACAGAGCCTGTTGGACTCTTGAACACTTCTTAACCTGTCCCCCCGCCCTTTATAAAGTCACTTTACTGCCCATCATACGTCACTTTACTTCACTGTACTGCTGTCACCTTACATTGTGTGCACCATGTGCACTTGTATATTGTAAATAGTAACTGTAACTCTATTTTAAATTTAAATGTATTCCTTAGAAGTGTTTTTTATGAAATAAATTCCATCTAACTCGTTCCTAGCTCTCAAAACAAAAAATCCCTAGATTTGTCACATCTTTTCCACTTTTTCAGACAGAAAAGTGAAAAGTCTTTCTGCTGAGACCTGTCAAATGTAATATTTATAGAACAAGCAAGTTTGGTATCCCAGATTTAAAAATGAAGCAGAGGTAACCACCCTTATCTCATTCAGTCCAAAGAATCATTGATTGACTCATTGGGGCTCTTTCTTTCAATTGAAATGAAATATAAAATATTGAAATAAAACCCACAAAATTGTTTATAAAACAAAGTCATGTACCCCCAGCTACCTAACACTTTTTCTTTCATTTTTCAAGCCGGAGTCAAAAGATCCTTGACAGAAGAGATGGGAAGTCAAACAAGCCGTAAGAACTAATCCGTCTAAAGGCTGTTAGCTCAAAGCGGGGCCCTTCATCAGCTGTGAAAGAGGCCCTCACCGCTACAGCTTCAGTTACAGATCGGGTGACTGAGTTTCTGTGTCTGTGGGCGGAGATCGGAGGGACTTGAGAACCCAACAAGAAAGTCGGGTGCCCATCCGCCGAGTGACAGGCAGAAGAGGCAGTCGGAGTACAGTCTAAAGTTTTTGGAAATTCTGCATTTGACCCATTCTTCAAAACTGAGAAGAAAAGGCAGAAGAAATCTGTAGAAATGTGAAGTGGAATTATTGATGGACAAAGGCAATGAAAAACCTGGAAATCTGTCCATCTGCATTTGAGACATTCTTCATAGCTGCCTGCATTTGAAAAGGTGGAAAGCCTGAAGACTTCTGTAGAAATGTAATGAGATATCAAAAATTTGACCAACTTTTTAAAGCCTCTGGAAGACAGGAGCCTTGAAAAGGGATTTTAAAAGGATTTCAAAAGAAAGAAAAAATAACAAAATGTTTGTGCATTAATTTAACTTTCCAAAGCCACTTGACGAACAGAGCACTGGGGACTGCAATTAACCCATTCTTCAAAATTGCTTGCTTGTGTACTTGGGAAGATAAAAAGACTGAAGAAATTGAATCATTGACGGACAACAAAAGAGCTTTGCATTTGACCCGGTACCACGAGAGCTAATAGAAGTATTAGGGAATCTTGACCCGAGATTTTCGTAAAATGAGAGAAGAAGTGAGCATCAATGGATTGAGATAACGTTAAAAGGGGTGACATTTTTGACAAAGATACTGGCAGAATCACTGGGGAGATTTTTCCACAACTTGAGCTAGGATTTTTTTTTTATGTAAGTGGCATCATCAGCGAACATAACCTGCAGTGAAAAGGAAAAATCTATCTTCTGCATTTGATCCATTCTTCAAAACTAATGTAGAGGAAATAATTGAGATATGTTGAGCTCAGATTTTGAACAAAAGAGTGAAGAAGTGTATACTTATGTGTGAGTGGAATCCTACTATAAAGTATAAGAGATAAGCAAATCTGTCTTCTGTCTTCAAATGCTTCAATGTTGACAGGTAAAACCTGGGTTGAGTAGTGGGACTCTTGGCCAGATTTAAGCCAGGGTTTTGGGCAAAGCATGAAGAAATCTATACAAATATAAAGAAATGGGTGGAGAAAATAGGAGGCTTCGAGCTTGTAAATTAAGTTTTGTATAAAACTTTGGCAAATTTTGACAATTTTAACAAATAGTTCAACAAACTTGTGGAAACTACAGAAATTGAATAAGTCATTCACAATCGCTTGCATCCGTGGTTACCATCAGTTACTTGGATCAAGTTACAACACATAAGAATACCACAGTAATGAAAACTTCATTTCACAGACAAGAATGGAGCAGAAGACCTGGTAGATGGGGCTTGATTGAGAAAAGCTGTCACTATGTGGACATCTGCAGACCAAAAATTGCAAGCCTCAAGACCTCTGGGTTGAATAATTTTCAAGAAAAGCCTGGACAAGTTTTGGCAAAAGAAAAAAAGCAAATCAGCGTGTCTAGAGTAGGATTTGCAACTACAAGAGTTCCTTTACCACCAATTAACAGCTCAAGAAGTGTGCCCATAAATGCTGTGGAATGCCTAACAAGTAAATCGATTTTCACAAGTATTCCGAAAGAACATAACTCAACCATGATAGAAAAAGCGCAACAAAGTGCAACTTATGGAAAAACTCCAAATAAGAAAATCAGTCTTGAAAACAAAGAGGAAATCCAGTATCCGATGAATCATGACGAACTGATTAAGCCACAATTTGATGCCCAGTCGGCCGTGACGCTCACTCTCGAGCCTCTAGAGCGACAAAGGAGAGATGACGCGAATGCGGCGGGTGCCAATGCCAGCGGGACATCAGTGCCAGGCCAGGTTACACAAGATGCCAGTTTGAAGGAAGCAGAGCAACAAAGAGGTTTCTGCTCCAGCGACTCGGTTGTGGAGACAGAATCGGAAGACAAAAGTCGACGAAACTGCCAGCAGAAGGACAATGATGATTATTACACTGATGAGAGGATCGCAGAATGGGTCCTCAGTGTCAACTCCAGTCTCTTCAAAAGAGGAAATTATGAAGAAGAGCAAGCGAAAGAACCTGTGGAAGAGCAAGATGTAACAACAATTAAAATAGTCTATAGTGGAGAATGAAGTTTAGAAATGTGGTTTGCAATGGTATTAGAAAAGAAGACAGTGAGATGATTTGAGAAATTGTTGGGATTTTAAATTTAATGGAATGCCAAGGAACATTTGGCAAGTATTGTACACCAATCCAATATTGATACAAATAACTAACCTGTAACTTAAAACTCAACTACTACAAAGACTCCACTCAGCTTACATATAAACTAAAATGTATCAAATTGTGAGAGCTGATTCTAACAGTTTCCTTGGGTAAGAGCACATAATCATAAGTAAAAACAAATATTTTACTTGCAAGAAGCAAGGAGAAGATGGTGGCTGCAGCTGGAGCAGGACGTCTGTCCTGCACAGCACCTGACCCTCTCCTGCCTGATGCTTGGACACACAGAATTTCATTACAAAGAAGAAAACACACATCTCCACACACGGAATATCTAAAAATAGCTAAAGCTATACAATAAGTACTTGTTGGTACATGGCAGTTTCACAAGGCACCTGATTGTTTACATACTGGTTCATCATTGGCTTGTTTCCACACAAAATAATGGATATGGACATTCCAAAGTGGGTTATAAAAATTGCACTTAACACTGTACACATTCACATTCATAAGTATGATTCAATTAAATTCCATTCAATATATTCTTGTATAGCCCTAAGCTACAACAGTAGTTATCTCGGAGGACTTCACACAACTGTTGAATTTGCCAACACAGATCAGAGAATCAAAAAGTTCAAACACAAGAAATAAAACAGAAAACACGTGACCAATGGCCATAAGTGTTGATAAATGTCCATAAATGATATAAGAGGAGTGATGCTCTGGAACATTTATGAACATAAGTGACTAATGTAGTGTTTTAGGGCTATACAAAATGTATTGTCAAAATCAGACTGAGGCTTTCTTGGACAAATTAGGCCTATTAAATAAAATATAAAAAGGTGGAAATACTGCATGGAAATAGCTATAAATAAAGAATCCTTTGTTAGACCTCTATCACATGTTTTTCCCAGTCATTTCACAGAGCATGTGACTACATGGTGGGGGACATTATGACACACAGAAGATAATCACGTATACTAACTCTTTGTACTATACAAGCTCAAAATGTATCAATTTTTTTATCGTAATATAATAATTTGAAGACATACAAATGTATACAGGTATTATATTATTCCATTGATCTTATTACTCTAATTATTATGTTTATTATAGCTATATGTGTGCAATGTCAATGTACTGTAAGCACGTTGGGGATACAGGTTGGTCCAGTTCACATTAACTGGACAAAGTCGTTTAGAGAAATCTTTTTTTCTAGATTTTCACCCTGGACCACCCTCAACCATCCCTCAGCCCAATGAATCAAGTAGTCAGGGTTCTTCCATTACTTCTGAACATCAGACAATGGACTAAAAGCCTTTAGACGCTCTGCCATATTATGCACTTTGTTTGTCAATAATACACCGAGCATGTGATAAATAAAAATGTGTACCTATTTATTTATTAATTTCAAACATGTATGCATTGGAGAAATATTCCCCAAAACAATTTTGAATTCATATAAATTGTAAACACGTGTTTGAGAAGGAAATACTGTATATTCTTTTGTAGTTCCACCACTATTCCACATTTTATTTAGCAAATTGAATGTGTTCTACATATCCTTGGTGTGTAGAAGAAATAAAAAAGAAAACACAACAAATAACAAAAACTGCAGTGAATTAAACATTACACATTATTTATGTCCCTTACCAGAAACTCATGAAAACAAAATATATATTTTTGAATATAGCGTAGTATTGCTATTTCTTTTAATCAACCAACAAAATGTTAGACAAAATTGTTCCGCAAACTGAAGCACAAAATCTTGTTTTTGTTGTACTCACATTTGCAGGCTTAAATTTAGTTTTATGTCTCAGATTTTAGAGAATTATAATTGGCTTTTAATACCACTTGTGGTATTTGGTAATTGACTAAATCTATACATTTTCAATACTAAGGATGAAATAATTTCTGGACTGATTTGTTCACAAACGTACTTTTACAAAAATCTTTTTGTTGGGACAGACAATACTTTACATGCAGATATGCAGAAAAAAGTAATGTACCCATTTTCAATATCATACTGAGGAACACCCCTAGATGTTGTCTCAACCTTTTCATGACAACAAGCGCATGGCGGACCCCCACCAAAAATGTTGTCTAGTGCACCTTTAATTTTTGCGAAAATTGATCTAACCGATGTTATTTCGATTTCAAGGTCTTATTAGTAAAAGAAACACCTTACCGTCATGCGAAACGACTGTCATGATTTTGGGCTTTATAAAAAATGGATTTGTTCTGCAGCCTACCTGTCAGTCCTACTCCAGAACCTGTAGCCCTACTGGGTGCCCTTGTCTCTCTCCTAACGCGCGCCTCTCCACTCAGGGCAGGTTCAACATAGTTATAGGGGGCCAGTGTCTGAAACATTAATCGGAGGACATTCCCAGTGAGGAAGAAGGACACGCGATGCGCACACACTCGCACGCAGGCTCGCTCCAGAGGTGCAGCAGCCCTGACGCACGCCTGTACCCCGTGCAGACCGAGGGAGTAAACATGGCGTCTGATGGGATGGTGCTCACGAACCACGACCATCAGACCCGAGTGGGGATCCTGACAGGTAAGCCACGCGTCACGGTGGATGACTTACAACGCCAACAACGACACGTATGCGTTTTCAGCCGATGTTTTGCTTGTTTGTTTCGCTTCGCTTGTACGCTGCAGAGCTAGCTGTTAGCCACTCCATGCTAACCGGTTCCATTGGCTCGCATTGGTCCGTGTTAGCTGGGGTACTATACACAGGTGGCACAGATGTGTGTTTTTGACTTTTAATCTTTCACCTTCTTTCATGAATAACATACATTCTTACTGTAATGTTAACTTCACGCGTTAATGCATGACACACATAAATCACGATTGGTGTATTGTGAAACCGCTACACGGCAGAAATGTACGTGTAAAGAGCCAGTGACACGCGAGACGGTACGTGTCCATGTCCTTTCAGAATTAGCAAGCTTGCATCTGGAGGTGTGTGGAGCGTTTAACCAAAATACGTGCTTTATTTTGAAATTTAAGCCTTTAATTTCCGAAAGGAGATGGGTATTTTGTGTCTGATTTGACCAATTCCTGCGTTATACCCATTTTCTTGCTATGTACCATTACCGAGCCTGCATTATTCATGATTCCTTTGCAGATCCGAAATAGTGGACACTATATTGGGGTCGCTTGTCTGTTAGCATCCATTTTCTCCCCCTTTCCTTTCCTTCTATATCCACTCCACTGCAGCCAAACATGAGGCTACTTAGGTGACATGTATAATAATAATAATAATAACAGCGCTATGGTTTGGTTATTACGCGCGATATTAATGGCATCGCGTTGCGTCTCTGCGTGTGCGTTGGGCTTGTTTGAGCAGCTCCACTCATTTGCAGGGCTGATGTTTGCATCCTAGTCGTGCAGTGCAAAAGGAGAAGGAGGAGGAGGGGGGACGGGAAAGCATAGAGCAGCCGAGTGACAACCAACGCTTGCTAACCACAGCTAGGGAGACGTGAGAATAATGCCAAGCAGCTAAATGACAAGTCTACAGTGGTAAATGGTGTATCTCGGGTAGCACTTGGGAGCTACCATGTGCTAAATCTGCTGTGCATTGAGACCAGTGATCTCCTGTCACATGTTTTCACCTATTTATGACCCGTGAATATGTGTAAAATGCGCTATATAAGAGGCAGCGATGCGTGATTCAAAGGATACAATTTGGGCCTACTGTTGCATAGGCGCTGCAGAATTTGATTTAAAATGCCTCTATTTGGAAGATTTCCGTGGCATCTGTGCACATGTAGCTTGCATTTACAGTGGATTTGTGAATTTAGCACTGCTTGGTTCTAGGATTATCAAAAGTATCAGATATTAAAGCTGGGGTACCTAGTTCCTTGCTCTGACACAACAATTTGATACTGTCACTAGTTTTCACATGCATGTTTTTTGGCCTCTTTAGATCAGCCTTGTCAGGTAGAAACATGTTTTCTAATATAAAGACAGCATCTTGTGGTCTGAGTGGTTCATAACACTTTACTTTTTCTAGACTCTGGGACAAAGCAAATGCATGATATCTGAAACAAAGAAGTTACCACAGCGTTAATCTAAACTTACGCTAGTATTGAAACTAGCTAAATCATGCTAAAGTTGAAATACAACATTTCCTTGGTAGTTTAAGTAAGATTCTTTGATCAAGTTAAAAAACCTTATGGTACTGTTAAAAGTACTACAAAAAGTAAAATGCGGCTTATTGTCAAATCATAAATCAACCCAGTGATACCCAAATTTGTATTAAGTTTTGAGTTCTCATCAATATTGAAACGGTAGTTAATATCTTATAACACGATTTAGTTCTAATAGATTTGACCTGGTGACAATGAATGAATCAAAGTTTATGGTAATTTCGGTTTTGCTCTTTTATACCTGGTTCTGTGTGGTCTAGCCCTGGTTGTACTTATAGAAAGACTGTTGTCTGCTTTGTGACAACTGTGAGAATAAAGTACCAGACCATTTTCAAATTACAGAAAAGAAAATCTATCTGTAGTGTAGTTCGTTATGGGTGTTAAATTGTTTATTGAAATGCCATTTCTATTTTTGGATCGGTAAGTGGTAACCTTGCCTGCAAGCTGAATTCTCGCGGTATTTGTGAGTTCACAAACACTCGAGAATACATCTTGTACCGCTCCCGCTTACACTTTTCGAGTCGAACCACTGGGTGTGCGAGCCAATCACGCGCCAGTCTGGGGGTTTAGGGCGGGATATCCGGGTTTGACGAAAACAAGAAGTGCCGGGCCGAAGCAAAACAAACATGGCTACGCAGGAGGACGGACACGTAGCTGAGGCTATCAAGTCAGTTTTAGCAGAATCTCCAATTTCTTTTTTGAAAGATGAACAGCGAGAGGCGCTTTGTGCATTTCTGGACGGCAAAGATGTTTGTGCATTTTTACCTACGGGTTTTGGCAAGAGTGTAGGCGGGCACACAGCGTCACTTCGCCCAATCAGCTTGAAGTATTCTGCTGCTTATCCCTCCTTTCCCCGAAAGGATTCTCCGGGAGAAATCCCAGATTGATATCGCGGAGAACGCGTTAGAGTTCTACACAATCATCAATCTGGCTCTTGCCAGGTTAGGTAAGTGGTGCCAAAGCAGTTTACACACAGAAGACTAATGTCCTGTGTGTCATCCAGAATGTGTGCCAGCAAATGGCAACTAGTGAATGAATGAAATGTAACTTTGCAATATAGTTTTATTATTAGTTATTAGTCCGTAAACGTTAATGTGCATTTGTGAGAGCTAAAAAGCCAAAATTGTCACAATGGCTCACAGCTCAAAAGTCACAAATTCAATTCCCGCCTTGTTCGATTCCTTTCGAGTGGAGTTTGCATGTTGCATAGGTCCACCTAGGTTCCCTCTGGGTGCTCCTGGTTCCCCTACCCCTAAGAAACGTGTACAAATGGTAAAATCCCCTGGCTCCTTACGAAGCTATGTATAAATATCTGCAGGTGTCCCCCCTGGCACAATACTGCAGCGACCACTGGTCCTGACACAGGCCCTAGTGGCATTGCAGGCTGGGACTAAATTTACTAAACAAAAAAGTAAATCTCGATGTTATTTCCTGCTTTGGACGATTTCGATTTTAAATCGATTTTCATTAAAGTTTGCCACTAAAAATATTTTTAGATCTTTCCGCTCAATAATCAAGTTTCAAAACCATTTTGATTTTGTTTCCCCCAATACGTATTATAAAAGTCTTGTACAAACTGTGCTGATATTGCAAGTATAATTAATGTGCTGCTGGAACTCTCACAATATCCTTCATTCGATTTCACGATTTTAAATTTTTTCACACATTCGATTTATTGCCCAGCCCTACCATACAGTATAGCTTTCCTTAAGGCAAGTCCAGAAAACCAGTCAGTATCTGGTGTGACCATTATTTGCCTCTTGCAGTGCAACGCATCTTCCTCAGTTGTGGATCATGTTGTTGATTGTGGCCCGTTTAATGTGTGTTCTGGAACACTCTGTAATATACAGCAATCCAGAGCATTCCAGACCTGCTCAATGGGTGACACGTCTGGTGAGAATGCTGGGAATGCAAGAACTGGGATGTTTTCAGCCCTATTGTGTATATATCCTTGCCAAAATGTTATGGTATGATCATACACCTGCCCATACCATAACCCCTCAGCCACCATGGGCCACTCGATCCACAACGTTGCTATCAGCAAACTGTTCACCCACACCGCTTGCCATTTACCTCATACAATGAGAACTGGGATACTCACCATCGCTGTATTCGACAACGTGTTCCAGTTCCTGCCAATATCCAACCAGTCATGGTAGAATGGGAGTGGAGCAACATTCCACAGGCCTACAACTTTCTCAACTTTCTCAACTCTGTGAAGTAGATGTGTTGTACTGTGCAAGCCGAATGATGGTCACATCAGATACATCAGATACATCAGATGCGGGCCGCACGGTGGCTGAGTGACACTTGCTTCTCAGCAAGAAGGATCTGGGTTCGAATCCTGGTCGGAACAGGGCCTTTCTGAGTGGAGTTTACATGTTCTCCCCGTGTCTGCATAGGTTTCCTCCGGGCACCTCGATTTCCCCTATCACTGAGTGTGTGTTTGTGAGTGCGAATGTGGGACAACGGACGCAAATTAGCTCAAGGCTACAATCCGGAGTGATGTGTTCATTAACATGTACTGTCCCAAACAAATAAACATCCATCCATCCGTCCATCCATTTTCTTCCCCTTAATCTATTTCTGGGTCGGGGGGGTAACAGTCACATAGCACCATCCCCTCACTGATCCTCCTGCAGGTGGTGAGCCCACAGGAGCCTTGATTATCCAGTGGGGGCTTCAGGCAAAGTGGGGTTAAGTGTCTTGCCCAAGGACACAGCAACAGCAGTCTTCAGTGGGAGTCGTGAAGTAGGTCTTGTGGTGGGTTTGAACCCACGACCTTCAGGCTCCAAGGCCAATGCTTGGCCTTGGAGCCTGAAGTAAATAAACAATAAAAATAAAATTAATAAAATGACTTAACCAGAAATATTATTATTATATTTATATTTGTGGCTAAACTTTAAGCCCTAACATGAAAATCCTCAATTCCTCATTTAGTAAGGGCGTTTGCTCTGACACAATTCAACAGGAAATGCTCAAACAGTAGTTCTATTTAGGTCTGAGACACACCGGATTTTTGCATTTTATGCATTAATCTTCTTCAGCCTGAAGGCGATCGCAGTCTGACCTGAGCCTTGGGGAGTGGCAGCAGGTCACTGTAGTAATTTCCCTCGTGTATCAATAGTCTGTCTAAGTCTATGGTTTCAAAGTTTAATAATTCTGCTGCCACTTTTCAGCAGAATAGTGGCAGCAGAATTACAGCAGAGAGCTGTAGTTGAGACATACACTGATTATCAGTCACTCGAAACAAGAAACCTTTGACCGATTACTGGACAACATTATGAAGACAGACAGCCCTACAAGTCACGCAGTTACAATATTGACCTTTTGTTGAATAATTGTAAGATAAGTGTTATGTTTAACCCTAACCCTCGAAAAAGAGGTGGTTTATCTCTAGGGGAAATCCATAATAAATAAATAGATAATGAAAAGTAATTTGTGTTTTTTTTCTCTCTCAAGTAGACAAAAAATTACACACGGTGGCACAGTGGTTAGAGTTCGATTCCACCTCCAGGCGGACTTCTGTGTGGAGTTTGTGTGTTTTCCGCATAGGTTTCTGAGTAAGTTTCCTCAGATTCCCCCTAGCACTCAAAACATGGACAATAGTGAGTGAGTGAGTGAGTGAGTGAAAAAAAAAGTTACGTGGATATAGCTTGCAGCACTGGTTTCCATCATTAAGAACGAGTGCTTGTATGCAGTCAGACAGCTTGTGGATAATATTGTCCTTCAGTCTCTTTGAGCATTTATTTACACCCCTTATATAGCACATTTTAATCCCATATTCTGTGAGATTTTGGGATCTAAACATCTAATTAATTAATCGAAGAATAATCAGCCAACTAATTACGTTAGTCCAGCCCTGATTCACACCAATTGGTCTACTGAACAGTTTCAAAGGAGGTGTGCGACTCATGGATCTTAGAGATTGTGGGTTTCACAATCTCCAAGAAAGTGCAGTATCAGAACATTCCAAAGGTTCTAAAATCTTGTCTTTGAGAGAAGCAGCAGTAATCTTGTATTTTTTTTTCCGTATTCATCTGAGCAGATTTAGTTACATTCATCATATATTCACCTTGTACTTCATCTAGAAGTACAATGTGAATTGAGTGGGAAGTAGAAAAACGTATTGACTCTCACCCCATGTACAATCACACTCAATCGTAATTTTTTTTATTTGACTGTTGAATGCATTTGGAATTTCCTGCTATCAATTTGCAATATCTGTTTACATTTGGCCTATGGATGTAAACAGATATTACCATTTTAGTTCTATCTAGCACTTACTTCAAAAGAAAATAGATTTAGAGATTATTATTATTTGTCTTATTGTCGGGAGATTTCAGTGTTGCATGACAGGTTACAAGGCGATATTAAGTATAGTACAGCTCTATCTCTCTAAAATAAAATACATTCTTTATCTGCGAGTTTAAATGCAAGTGACATTAATTTGATCAAGTTTGTACAACAGTAATTTATAATGGATGTAAGTATAGATATGTCTCAGTATCGATATGCAGATTCAGATTCATCCATGATTCATATATCGTGAGCTTTGTATCGTGTATCGTATCGTGAGGTACCCTTAGGTTCCCACCCCTAATTGATATTGCTTGGACACAAAACATTTTCTGACTTAACAATTCCTGGCATATTTTTAGCTTCAATTTTAAGCTTCTAAGTCCATTCACAGTTTTGACCTTACATGACTGCGACCCGTTCCTAATTGCTTGTCTCTCTTGTCTGCAGTGAGTGACAGCTGCTTTAAGAACTTGGCTGAGGACAGAAGTGGAGTCAACTTGAAGGATTTGGTCCACGATCCGTCTCTGTGAGTCTAAGACGCCACTCGACACACACCCACATCCAGCGTTTTGAAACTATCCTTAATAACTCTATTCCCGTGCTTCCTTTTGCAGGCTTGGGGGAGTCATTGCTGCCTACAAAATCGTCCCAGATGAGATCGATGAAATAAAGGTAATTCTTTTGATCATGCATGTGCTACTACCTGCACCGCACTTACTGCTAAAACAAGAATGAACATTTCATTAAAATTGAATTATACACAATTGTTGTGCTAAGAATTTTGCAAAGGCTGCAATTATAGGTAGATGTAATGTCATCTTCAGAGAACTTAATAGCTCGTTTCCAAATGGGGCGAATTGTTTTTGCTCTTATTAGCTCAATAAGAGTTATTGCTTGGTATTGGTTTTTCAACCAAGTGGGATCCATAACAAAGGGTTAATTTTTGGTCAAGCAGAATTTAGTTATACTTGGGGCTAGACGATATGGAAAAAAAAATCTTATGTTTCTTTTATATCTCAATATATGATATTTTTACAGGATTAGTAACCCTCCAAAAACTACTGCCAAAAACACAACAACCATGCCAATTCCCAAAGTCTTTTTTTATTTATTTATTTTTAATATTGAACCTCAAAGGAATTGAATCGCTTCAATGTGTTTTTGTCACATTTGTTTGAATTGACGATGCAATTGACATGATGATGCAAGACACTTAACCCCACTTTGCCCAAAGCCCCCACTCAAGGCTATGCTCACACTCAGAGAGCAGCCGTCCTCCTGTGGACTCACCACCTGCAGAGGGTCAGTGAGGGGCTGGTGCTGTGAGACTTGGGTGGCATCTCTGACTGCCACCCCCCTGACCCAGAAATGGATTAAAGGGTAGAAAATGGATGGATGGATGGATGTTTGAATTGACTGTTTTTGAAGAAATTATTTACATATTGCCTTCTCTTCATTCAAACTCAACTCAATGTGCATATAGGAACAAAGTGCTTCTGCAACATTTAAGACAAAAAAAACCCCCTGATTACATTAATAGTTAGTAACTTAATAGTATGTTCCAATTCTGTCGCTTTCTCTGTGTTTTCTTGAGTTTTTGTATCACAAAGTAATGCCTCGACTGTAATCTGTTGTTTAACACCTCACTCTGTTATCAAAGAACCGGGGTTATGTTGAGTAACCTTAAGTTTAGTTTTCAGCTGCGTATAAAGTTTACAGTCTGGAAAAAAGCCATGTTGTTCAATGTCGACCAAACGTGCCGTGTCCACCACTGTATTAAATGCCACGGACTATGACGCTACACCACCTAATAATTATCGGCCACCCCTAGTTACACTACATTATACATACATACTAGTTGAGGCAATTGGAAACAAAATATTGGGGGGGGCACAGTGGTGCTTGGTTAGCGCTTGTGATTAACAGCCAGCACACAACTACTGTGCAATAGGTATGACTGTTTGAGAGAATGAATGGAAGGTTGATGGTTTGAGGCTTCGATGAGTGTTGAGCATCTCGCTTCTGACATCAATGTGAGTAAATGGAGTAAATGGAAATGACCAAAAATGTAAAGCGCTTTGTGTGACCTTGGTCTGTGATACATACGCTATATAAATGTATATCTGGAGCTGTAACGAATAATGTGTTAATCAACTATTTGAGTAATTGACTAAATTGTTCTATTTACACACTCCAAAACATGTAAATGCTGTGAGATGTGATTTTAGGACTCAAACAGAGCAGTTTCTACAATATTTTTAAAGAATAAATACATATATATCTATGTATGAATACTGTACGAGACTTCTGTGCATGTGCCAATCGAGGAGCAAAGCAGGTGTGTGTGTAAAACATATTACAACCCATCAGCAAACCGTCATTGTTAGCATAGCATAAAACGTTTGTGGCTTGTGTGCTCCGCTGTAATTAGTTAAGAGGACTTAGCACACATTTTTTGGAGTCTCCAGAAGCTCCACAACAGCTGTCCTGGGGACAAGTGCTGGGGAAAAGTGCTCCATGCAAACGGGTGAGAGCCCTGATGGTGATGATGTCATTGTTTGATCTTTATTTCAGGACACTTTGCTCGAGTGGTGCGATGAACACGAGCTGAACCTCATCCTCACGACTGGAGGCACCGGCTTTGCACCTAAAGATGTTACACCCGAGGTATTTACCGCTTGGAGCCACTGCACCTCATTTTGACTATTTACAATGGTTTTTGATTACATGATTTATAAAAGAATTTCATAATGACCAAAAATAGCCCTTTCAATGTCAAATTCCCAAATAGTAAGAATCTAATGAAGGCAAAACTTGAAGCAGCCACAACTAATTCTGATATCCTAATTTTTCTTGTCTCTGTAGTGATGAATTCTAGCTAAACCAATATTTCTGTATGCATCTGTATCCCAATTAAATTCCATATTGACTTGTGTTAAAAAATGATCTAATTCCTCATTTATCCTAGCCTGGCCATAGCCATCTGTACACTCCGCTCAATCATCATTTCACAGTGTGTAACCGTCTGGGTCTGGTCCCTGTGTTAGCGAATACAATCGGTCGTATTTCGACCGACTACTCAGAGAGCGCGGGTGTTGTAGGTCGGTGCCGGTGACGTCAAGAGTTTGCGCCGAACGGGCAGGTTGTGGTTTGGCAATGGCAAAGAATGCAATAGTAAAGTAATCCGGTCTGGTTCTATCAAGAAATTGAAGCAGGAGCAAGAGGAATGTTTAGCAAATGTAATCGCTGGTCAATATTGTGGCGCTACTCCCCACGGGCTACGTTAGTGGCAAAGGAGATGGCTAAAGCTAGGCTAAATGCTAACAACACACTCGCGCGCATTTCATACGTCACGGTAAACTCAGATCCAATCGTTTCAATCTGCAAAAGGAGTTAACCCCTCCCACCTGTTCACGGAGCTCAATGGAGCAAATCCAGACCTTAGTATGAAATGTAATTTGTACTAAGGTGTGGTACAACCAGGCTACATTTATCCAGGAGAGATCAAACACAGAGCAAACTCAATTATACAGCCATTTCTTGCAGATTGGAGTCAAAACTTCTTTCTACGTTGAAAACTCATTCTGCCATATATTAAAAACACAAAAGTTTAAGTTTAGTTTGATGTTCTTTATATGGATTTTTCTTGTGGTGGTGGTTATAAACCTATACCATTTAAACAGGACCCACCTTTTCACCACTTTTAACCCACTGTTTTTATCCATTTTCTTCTCTGAAACTGTGATGATGTAGCCTGACTCTTCACATGAGGGTCTAGGTCTCCTTAGTGGAAAAATTTCAGAAGGTGGGGCCTTGTAAAAAATATCTTTGTATGTGATTGGATAAACCACTTGACTGTTATCTTGAATGACGTGTTCCTTCAACCACTCACATTTAAGCACAGGAATCAGCACACCACTCCCATGGGTTGCCAAATTCCGGCAAGATTTTCCAACCAAAAACCCGCGAGAATGCCAAAAAAAAACCCACCCAGAATGATTTTTTGGCAAAAAAAATAATGTAATCAACTTGGGCTATCATGATTATTTTTTATTGTCTTTCTGTTTATTTATTACATACAAGTCGCTTGGAAAAAAAGTATGTGGGAAACAACCAAAACTGGCAACCCTGCTGCGTAGCGTTGTAAACAGGAACACTTAAAATAGTACTTAAACCACACTTTACATGAACATTTGACTCTTAAAACACACATATAACAACATGGAACCATCAACATCTCGCCTCACCGTTGTGCGTGAAGCGAAACGCCTCTCGTGGAGCATGGCGGAACTACAAGGGTCTGGCGAAAGTATTCGGCCCCCTTGAACCATTCAACATTTCGCCACATTTCAGGCTTCAAACATAAAGATATAAAATTTTAATTTTTTATCATGAATCAACAACAAGTGGGACACAATCGTGAAGTGGAACAACATTTATTGGATAATTTAAACTTTTTTAACAAATAAAAAACTGAAAAGTGGGGCGTGCAATATTATTCGGCCCCTTTACTTTCAGTGCAGCAAACTCAGTCCAGAAGTTCAGTGAGGATCTTTGAATGATCCAATGTTGTCCTAAATGACTGATGATGATCAATAGAATGCACCTGTGTGTAATCAAGTCTCCGTATAAATGCACCTGCTCTTTGATAGTCCCAGGGTTCTGTTTAAAGCACAGAGAGAACCATGAAGACAAAGGAACACACCAGGCAGGTCCGAGATACTGTTGTGGAGAAGTTTAAAGCCGAATTTGGATACAAAAAGATTTCCCAAGCTTTAAACATCTCAAGGAGCACTGTGCAAGCAATTATATTGAAATGGAAGGAGTATCAGACCACTGCAAATCTACCAAGACCCGGCCGTCCCTCCAAACTTTGTCTCAAAAAGGAGAAGACTGATCAGAGATGCAGCCAAGAGGCCCATGATCACTCTGGATGAACTGCAGATAACTACAGCTGAGGTGGGAGAGTCTGTCCATAGGACAACAATCAGTCGTGCACTGCACAAATCTGGCCTTTATGGAAGAGTGGCAAGAAGAAAGCCATTTCTCAAAGATATCCATAAAAAGTCTGGTTTAAAGTTTGCCACAAGCCACCTGGGAGACACACCAAACATGTGGAAGAAGGTGCTCTGGTCAGATGAAACCAAAATCAAACTTTTTGGCCACAATGCAAAACGATATGTTTGGCGTAAAAGCAACACAGCTCATCACCCTGAACACACCATCCCCGCTGTCAAACGTGGTGGTGGCAGCATCATGCTTTGGGCCTGCTTTTCTTCAACAGGGACAGGGAAGATGGCTCCATCCATCTTCCCATCAATTTTAGCCAAATACAGGACCATTCTGGAAGAAAACCTGTTGGAGTCTGCAAAAGACATGAGACTGGGACGGAGATTTATCTTCCAACAGGACAATGATCCAAAACATAAAGCCAAATCTACAATGGAATGGTTCACAAATAGATGTATCCAGGTGTTAGAATGGCCAAGTCAAAGTCCAGACCTGAATCCAATCGAGAATCTGTGGAAAGAGCTGAAGACTGCTGTTCACAAACGCTCTCCATCCAACCTCACTGAGCTCGAGCTGTTTTGCAAGGAAGAATGGGCAAGAATTCCAGTCTCTCGATGTGCAAAACTGATAGAGACATACCCCAAGCGACTTGCAGCTGTAATTGCAGCAAAAGGTGGCGCTACAAAGTATTAGCGCAAGGGGGCCGAATAATATTGCACGCCCCACTTTTCAGTTTTTTATTTGTTAAAAAAGTTTAAATTATCCAATAAATTTTGTTCCACTTCACAATTGTGTCCCACTTGTTTTTGATTCTTGACAAAACATAAAATTTTTATATCTTTATGTTTGAAGCCTGAAATGTGGCGAAATGATGAAAGGTTCAAGGGGGCCGAATACAACACTGTACAGCCTTACATAGGCATTTTTGGTAGATGGAAAAATTTCTTGATTGCTAACTCGATTTGACCACTGCTGAAAGGGCAGTGCACAGTACAGTATGGTAATGCTGAATATGGAATTGCGGGGGTCTATTTTATTATTTCTCTTTAGATCAGTATATAGATTTCCAATGTACTAAAGCAGCTGTGTCAACTCATTTTGGGCAGGTTTCTTAAGGGGCGTTCACACCTGACCATGCGTTGTGGCGAGTTTTACATGCAAAGTCCATGTGATGTCAGTTCAAACATTCACTTTGTGGCACGCATGTTTGTCCAGTGCGGCAGAAGCGTTGGTGGCAGGGGCAGTGGGTACCTACATAAACTTTAGGCAATCCATAATATTTCTATAATTTACAGAAAGCCTCTTATTCTATATTACTTTTAAGTTATAGCCTTTTGAAATTAATACGTCAAAATTGAGAGTTTAGGAAAAAGCCTCTTGTGGCTAAAGGGTTATAACAGCTTAACGTTAGCTTCGAGATAAAGGATACAAAAAGAACTAAACATATCTTTTAAATTTTATTTTTCAGTTTGGGTGATTTCTATCGCTTCTACGCCCCAGTAGCAGACAGAATCATGTGATGCCTTCTCTAAATATTATTCTTTTGCTGTGTTTTGCTTCAGGCGACCAGAGAGGTGATAGAAAGAGAAGCTCCTGGAATGGCCCTCGCTATGCTAATGGGCTCACTCAATGTTACACCTCTCGGCATGCTGTCCAGGTAATGTTTTCTCAGAATATTTCACACTGTTTGCAATGCCTTATTTCACTCTGATTTAAATAATTCTGCTACTAATGATCTGTTCTTGTCTAATAAACAGGCCTGTGTGTGGCATTCGTGGCAAAACTCTGATCATCAACCTCCCAGGGAGCAAGAAAGGCTCCCAGGTACAGTACTGCGTTTATTTACTTGTGCTGTCTAATAATAGTTAACATTAGCTGTGAGTTAGAATGTTGGGCTGCCTGTTGAAACCTCATTTGAATGCATAAAGCTGTTGTGTCCCTAGGCAAGACACTTCACCCTCATTGTCCTATCCAGGCCCAGCATGGTGGCTGGTTGTAATGGGACGGGCATCCAATATAGATGCAAATAGTTTGTTTGCTGTGCTACTTCAATCAAAGAAATGCAGAACGAGCAAAACATCAAACTTAATGCTATGTTTTATTACACTGTTCATGTGTTCTGGGGTTGTCCCTTCCTTTTGTAAGTCAGCTGTAGTGGAGCCTTTAGTTAAGAAAACTGGACTTGAGCCTTCAATTTTATCAAATTATCGTTCCATTTCAAAACTCCCCTTTGTTTCAAAGATTATAGAAAAAAAACTTAATTTCTCAGCTGCAACCTTTTTTAAATGAAATTGGCACTTTAGACCCTTTTCAGTCAGGGTCAGGGGAGTAGCCCCAAATTCTGGGTACAAAGCTTTGCACAACACTGAGTCTGCACTTTTAAAGGTTTTTAACTACCTGTTTTTATTGGCAGATTCTGGAAATTCTGCTGTTTTAGTGCGTTTAGATTTGACTGCTGCGTTTGACACTGTGGACCATGCAACTCTTTTAAATCGTCTTAAATACTGTGTCGGTGTCAGGGGGACCGCCCTGGACTGGTTTAGGTCTTACCTGTCAGGGCGGTCCACCTCCACCTCTGCCCCTTTGCACTGTGGAGTTCCCCAGGGCTCAATTCTTGGCCCTTTGCTTTTTGCCCTGTACCTCCTCCCACTCAGTGATATTTTTAAAAAACATGGCGTGTCTTAACACTTTTATGCTGACGATTGTCGATTTACATGCGTTCACTGCCTTTACCAACAGCGATGATGAGGATGAAGGCAGTTCTTGAGAGAAAATAATCCACAAAAGTGGATCAGAAGTGTTGAAGAGCCTGTTGTTTCTTGTTGAGACGATCTGACATGTTCTGTGCCCATTCATTTAATCTCTCTGTTTCTAAACGATAAATCATGGAGCCTCATTTCCACTGAGAAAAATAGTATGCCCATCACTTCTTTGAAAGGGAAATCTCCAGATTTTATGACTGTAAACTATAAAGAGTGCTGTCTTGATCACTGAAGGTCTTTGAAAATAATACAATTCCATAGGCCACGAACCAGTGCTAAAACACTATAATCTGGATCAGGGAATTTATTTCTATCCCAAATTCATTTCATACCAAAGATATTTCACATTGACTGTTTTATAGTATTCCCTGATCTCAAATAACTTCAATAAGCTTTTTGAAATCTTTATACAATAATTAACATTTTCCAAAATGGCCGCCACCTTGATGACATCACAATATGCAAATTAGATGACGAATCAACTTCCATCCCAAAGTTTGGTTCAAACTGAAGATATTTCTAATTTACAGTATGCCTTTATCTCAAACCATTTTAAAGTTATAGCCTTTTGAAATCTTGAAATCCAAATTGTATATTTTCTTGAAAAAACTCTGGCGCCTAAGGGTTAAGACTTTTTATGCTCTGGCTTTTAACACTGCGTGAGTTGTATGGTCCTTTTATTTTCATTTTCTTTCATCTTTTTATTGTTATTTTTTAATTCATACTATTTGCACACACAGTTTTTCATATTTAGTTTTGTATTTTACTGTTTTACTATGTTTTTAATTTTATTGTGCAGCACTTTGGAAACTGTGTTTATGAAATGTGCTATTTAAATAAAGTGGATTGGATTGGATTGGATGTTGGGTACTTTTTTGACCAGGGCCACCTCCTTGGCCACAGAAATGTAGCCCCTAACTGTAATTCTAAATGCCTTAAAAAACCTAAGCCTACTATTCAGGAATAAAAGTAAAATGATATCTTGCACTGCTATATACATTTTTGTACAGCCCTAATGTCAAGCTGGGTGTTTTTCTGTATAACTCACAAATATTTGTTTAATTCTTCCAGGAGTGTTTCCAGTTCATTCTGCCCGCGCTGCCCCACGCCATCGACCTGCTGCGTGAGGCAAATGTGCGGGTGAAAGCCACACACGCCGCCCTGGAGCAGATGCCCTCCCCGCTGTCCCATGCCCACAACAACGCTCACAACAGCAGCCACACCATGGAGCGCGGCACCCAGTGTGAAGACGAGGAAGAGGAGGAGGAAGAGGAGCGCCGCAGATCAGCCCGCCACGCACACAATCACCACCACCATCACCATCACCACCAGCACGGCTCCTCCCACATCACTGCGGCCGCCATCGCTGCCAAGGTAAACCTTGCTAATGCTGATAAGCTAACTATGATCAAGGCCTAGGTAAACTGTACTAATGCCCCTAAGCTAACTTTGATTGAAGTCAACGTAAACCATTCTAATCATGCCAAGCTAGCCAAAATTGAAGCCAACTTAAACCGTGCTAAATCTGCCATGCTTGTTTCAATAAAAGCCAAGGTACAGGATGTGCGGTGATCGAGATGTCAAAGAAAGGAGCCTGAGGCACTCTGTTGAAGTGAAAAAATGTAATAGTCCATTATAAAAAAATTGACTGCCTACGCATTTCGACCAAAGCGGTCTTCGCCAGGTCCCATTTTGGTTGAAACACGTAGGTAGTCGTCATCCTGTATCTGCTTAGATTACCATGTCTTTGAAGAGCACCGGTTTGTCAAGCCTTCTACAACTCAAACCCTCTTCTTCACTCACCTTCCTTGCTTTGAAAGCCAAGGCAAACCTAACTAATACTGCTAGGCTAACAGAGCTAATGCTGTTAAGCTAACTACAATCAAATCCAAGGTGAGTCTTGTTAATGCTGCTAGGCTAACTAACTATGACCCAAGCCAAGGTAAACTGCGTTATTTCTGCTAAGCTAGCTACTATCAAAGCCATGGTAAACAGTGCTAATTTAAAGTTAAGTGCAATGATTGAGACAAGGGAAAAACCATGCTACTAAAAATAATTTTTTTTAACTAGGGCTGTCAAAATTATCGCATTAACGCACGTTAATTAACACAAATTAACACATTTGACGCATGTGCCGAATGACCCGCCCATGCATCCCATAATAACACTCAGAAGTGCCGCGGACACATGCGGGTGGGGAATTCAAGTTTTTAAAAAAATGCACAGGCCTGTGGGGCACTTTGTTTGCTGCCGTTTGCTGTATGAACTCGAACAGGATTACGCAACCTCCGTGGCCACCTCTAACTCCCAACATTAAAGCTGGGGTACCTAGATTTCCGAGCCCAAAAGTAAAATGTTTTAAGCAAATCAACAGATTTAATGACAGCCATTGGCTGACATAATGCATTTCAGACTTTATTGCACTTTATTTCAATTGTTGAAACTACATACATCCTCTACAGTATGTGCTTCCACATATCATATAAATAACCTTGGAAAAAACGTGAATAAAACAAATGCGTGGTCAAGAAGGCCAAAATGTCTCGGCCCTTTTTTGGTTCCAGGCCTGGACTGATTAACTTAGTTAAAGATATGGGTCTCGCTAAAACATTGAGAGTAGCGTCCCTCGACCCATCCTAAAAGCCACCAGCAAGAGACAAAATAATGAATAGGATCCACAGCCTTTGAGACAGAGAAAAAAAAGTAAGGAGGCTTTAGCTGAAGCGGAATAAGTTGAACTGAAAAAAACTGTCTACTACAGAAAGGCAATGTTTTTAATGTTGTTATAATAAACAAATACAGTACATATGTACACTATGTTGTCATTCATTTTTCCATTCAAACAACCATTTCAGGAAAAATATTGCATCATTTGGCCGATTGTTCGAAATATGATTTAATTATGGTTAATTAATTTTTAAGCTGTAATTAACTCTATTCAAAATTGTAATTGTTTGACAGGCCTAGTTTTACTGCTGTGTCCATACTCAGAAGATGTTTCCCACAGTCACACAATGTATTCAAACCATAGAACTATAATGAAACCTCAAAGATGAGTCCTATATTGCAAACAAAAGTTTCGGCCTATATTTGGCTTAGCAAAGGTAACTAAGGCAAACTAAGGATTCTTCTTTAATAAAATGTATAATAAAAACCCTTCTAAACTGGATCTTTGTGAAATCTGTCTGCTGAACACAATCCTGGCCTCGAGAGAGGGGGTCGAGCACTATCCAGGTTAACAATATAGGTCAATGGTTCAGCTGATAGCGCCTACAACCTTTTACTAAGGCTGGTTTAGAAGCATTTTGTTTTCATCTAGAAGATAATCCTTACAAAGCCTAAAAGTTAACAAGTCCGTTGTTGTCACAGTTGGTGAGGTGTTCAAATGTTTTTATACTTCTCTGCTGAAGCATAGCAAAGACTATGCTATCACTGCTATGCTAGCTATATTTTATTTAGATTGAAAGAGAGATACTTAAAACCCGAAGAAAATTCAAGGCTGAGAGTGTCGATCCTATGTCAGGGTAGCAGTTATATTTGTTTAATTTTAACAGCCAGAAGTAAGAACAAATGTATAACTTATGTTAGAAGCCAAAGTAAATTATGTAAATGCTTCTAATCTTTGCAAAGATATGCAAAGGAACAACAATAAAATAGTAGTAATTAGTTGTGTGAAACTAGCCCATAGTTCATGCAAAATACAAAAATAGATATGTAAATTAAATTAGATAAAAAAATAATGCTTTGAAATATGACCCTAATCCGGTTTTGAATTGGGGGATGACCATTGAAATATAGATGATCATAATACAGCTTGCAAAAACCGGTCAATTGGAAGTACAGCAAAAGAGCACTTAATATCCCCAATTTAGACCTGAGGTAGGTATCTTGTGGAGGCAATGGAGGAGTAATGGGATGAAGCTGCTGTCCACCACAGACACACACCAAGAAGGACCACTGAAGGGGCTGAAACCGGATAAAAGTTTAATGAATGTAGTGGGAAAAGTGGGACACTGCAGCACAAAGCCACTATAGACAGCTAAAAGGCTATGAGCTATTTATAGCATAATACTACTAAGATTGTTTGCTCTTGGAATGGATGCAACTTGTAACGTGACGGGTTGAGAAGCTCCAGTGTGGAAACTGTAGTCTTCTGTTGCGTATCTTTCTTAATGTAATAATTTAAGATTTTGACAAACAAAGGGACAGCATTTTGTAAGATTCATTTTTTTAACTTTCTATGTACCTCGATACATGTTCCATTGAAAATGTACTTTTTACCTGTTACAAGGTCTATTTAATATCTCAGAAAATCCTCTGATACTTTGATGTAGGGATGTAAATCGGCGACCGTTTAACCGGTGGTTGACCGTCACAGCGTTAACCGGTCAAAGCTGTCGGTTAAAAAAAAAGAAAAGGGGGAGAGGGGACGTCTCTTAATAACGCTATTGTAAGCCCTATTTGTACGGTGTGGCGAGCGGGTCTGTCTCTCTAGCTGTGTGCGCCAATGTAACAGTAAACTCTGGGCCGACTCTCATGCCGCACGCGCCACATGCACGCACACACACACACACACACTTTCCCCCTTCTATTGATACGTAACATCCACACGCATCATCTCTCCCTCTGTCCGCCAAAGTTGCACACTGGTGCGGGTTAGAACTACATTGGAGCTTACATTTACACACACATGCATGCATATACACACACACATACCGGTTTGTCGCGCTCCTCTGTGTCACGCAGCCCAAAGTATCCAAATACGCAGCTTCAGTCAAACCACGTGGAACTTGTTTGTGCTGATGGTCCTTGGCATTAGATCAGCTCCACACACATCACTTGTATTTAAACTTTAGTGGAGATCTGCGAGACGCGGCTCGTCACTCGCTGCTCTGACCATGTGGACGAGCCGTTGTTTGCTGCTAAAAAGTGTTAACCCGCAGCACAGAAGTATGGAAAGGTTTAAAAAGCAGTTCTCTGTGCGAAATGGCTGTTATTTCAAAGAACGTGGAATATTTTTAACTACGCGGTTAACCGGTTTCAACCGGTTAATGAGGCTCAATGGTCGTCACAAAAGTTCATAGTTTTTACATCCCTACTTTCATGCTTGATGTTGTTTGTTCAAACATAACACTGTTGGAGGTTTTGATTTATTCACTATAAATGACTAAATACTAGATTAAATCCTACTTTTTAATCTTATACATTTAGTAGCATTGTTTGTCAGAAAAGTTAGAAAAAAGTTAGTTTGCCAAAATCACCAACACACAGATGTTTGTATAGCTGAAAAACATTTTTTTGTCATATTAATGACTCTCTCATCATATAACACTGTGGGACGAATAAAGGAATTCTTATCTTATCTTATCTTAAAAATATTCAGATCAATTGGTCAAACGATCATTTTTATATGTATAATGGAGGCATGTTGGCCCAATTTATTTCATTGGTTGCTTGGTGACATCCCTCGCTGTTGTGGTGGAGCAGCATCTGCAGTCAGAGCATTATCGGGTGCTGTGTTGGTAAAGCTATATCAAACTGTTGTGATGAAGAGGGAGCTGAGTCGAAAGGCAATTTACAGCTTTGTTACGTCCTATTCCTGCTCCACAGAGAGGCTAGGCTCTCCCATGGAGAAAGGTTAAGAATCTCAATCACACCGGAAGAGCTCTGAGTTGAGCCACGTTAAGAGGAGCCAGTTGAGGCTGTTACGGATGCCTCCTAGCAGGAGGGACTACCGGTCTGTCTCTCAGAAGGCCTGGGAATGCCTAGGGATTTCTGGTGTGGCTTGTCCAGGTGATCTGAAGGAAGTGTGTCCGGAATGGATAGGGAAGTCTGGGCATCTCTGCTCAGACTGCTGCCCCCAAGAGCCAGCAATGGATAAAGTGGAGGAAAATAGATGAATGGATGTAATATTATTATCTATTATTAACCTGTCATACGACCTTTAATCTCTTTCTGGACAAATGGCAGCCCTGATAAAATACAACTACAGCAAAAGCAAAAATATTAAAGTTATCAACATATGAATATATTACACTTTTTTACAAATGTTTTATGAGTTAAGCCTTTTTTGAATAAAGAGTCAGTTAATCACAATGTAATAAATATATTTTGTTGTTGTTAAATCATCCCATTTAATTTTGTCATGTAAATCCACTCATATTCCACATTTCCCCTGACATAGCTTTACCCTGTTTGTGCGTCATATTTTCTGTTTGTGGATGTCTGTAATGCATGTGTAATGTATCCCCATCAGACCAGTCATGCTGTGGTTATGGCTAAGGGTGCCCCCTACCTGCCCGGCACCACCCCTGCACCCACTCATTTTACCTGCTCCTGTAGCCATGAAGAGGTGAGACATGAAACCCACCCACTTTCCTCTCATTACCAACACTGCACCTTCGTTTGTATTCAGATTGCTTAGAGGTTGTTGCTGCTGAGTTTGAATTTATTTTTGAAATCTTAATGTCTTGTTGATGCTTTAAAGATTCAAACTATATATTTTGTGAAAGCATGAAAGCTACAAATGGTCCCCCTTTGGAATGCAGTTCCATGTGATGGCTATTTACTTTAACCTATTTGATGGATGAACATTATATTCTTCTCAAAAATAGTATATATTGAAAGAGGTGACCTGGACTTGAATCACATATTTATTTTAGCAACAAATGTTAAAACAACATGAAACTCAATTTGGCCTTTAATGTAACTTTGTAAACATGAGTTCAAATTCAATAGTGTACCTGACCCTCTTTGTGTTTCTTGAATGCTGTAAAAATGGTAAGTCTTAAAAAGATAATTTTTTGTGAACAAATGTGACCGCATAACGTTGTCTTTACGTCTTATTTGAAAACATTATCTTTTAAACTTGTGAGAAAGAAGGCTGAGAGCCGATTGGAGAGCAGATTGGCAGATCTAAAGTTGTGTCAGAGGCCAAAAATACATGCATGTGAAATGAGAACCAAACTTGAGAACGAGGAACTAGTTTGATCGTTTTTATTACATAGTAAAAGGAAATTTGATTTGAAAATTATGTACTCCAGCATGGTTCTTAGGAAGATTTGGGTTGTCCGATTGTGCCTAAATGAAACTCGTGCTTCCTTTGGCCTCCCATTTTTAGTTTTATTTCTAGTTTTTTAATTAATTGTAGTTGTTTTTCAGTTATTTATAACGCAACATTAATGTATTCTTATAAACCTCTCTGTATTTCGTCCCCTGTACATGAGCTCTATTGCTCTATTGAAGCATCTGCAAATTACACTGTAGCTCAAACTGTGCATTTGTTATCTCTGTGTGTGTGTGTGTGTAGATCCCGGACTCAATCATTTCGCGAGGCGTTCAGGTGCTTCCTCGAGATTCGGCCTCTTTAAGCTCCACCCCTTCCGAGTCTCCGCGGGCAACTCAGGCGACCTCCCGTCTGTCCACTGCCTCATGTCCGACACCCAAGGTACACACAGCACCCAAAGGCCCTCACTCAACAACATACAACAGAACACACAGCTAAACCATGCTGGACAAAAAAGATAGTCACTTCTTAGATCCGGGACAGCAATCAAATTGAGCAAATATTTGACTTGATGGTCAATTATCTTGGTCCACGCGCTGATGGAGTTCTCCTTAGCGCCGTGGACAGCTTCAAATAGGTGATGTCCACAAATGTCAATCCTCACTATTTGGGGAAAGAAAGAAAACGGAAACCAACCCACAAATAATCTGTTTTGGTTACCTTACAAACAATTGCTTGCTTGCAATGGACGTCACGTCCGCCTCATTACTTGCGTAACACGAAGTGGTAGTCAGCCGAGCTAGTTGTTTACTAGAGCAGCGTGTTTGAATATGCCTTTTGCGTCTGTTGTTTTAGGTTGTTCTAAGCGATCGAATCGCGAAACCAATAAAGGATACTTTAGGTTTCCTCGTGAAGAGATTAATAAAGGGCCTCGTACTAAGGACGCACAGAAAAGTGGTTCGCTAACATTTTGTAACAACGCTTTACATGGAAGGATCATTTATTTACCCAGCCATGCAGTCACAATGCGCAGTTATTACATCCCCATCTTTAAACAAAATTACAAAATTAACACTGAATGTTTGACCTGAAAAGAACACAGCAAACATGTTGACGCATCGTTTTGTTGAGAATGACAAGTTCATGCACCAATTGTTACTTACACGGCTCTTTACGATGCAGGATTTGCCCTTCAGGACCTTAAAGTGATAGTCTGTAACTCTAAATTCATTACAAATTTTAGGAAATGTGCTAAATTGACCTCCTGGCCTTAAATGTTGATATAAAATAAGTAATTTTATTAATTCTAATATTACGGGCAAGTCCCGCCTCCCCTGCTCTTAGCTATAGTTCAGAATCCACGGTGCCGTCGAGGTTAACCAATCAAGTCATGCCAAGGGCTGTCAATCATCGGCGCTGATGCTCGCAGCTGCGCGCATGCTCAGTTGTTTGTTTTCGCGGAGCCTCCGAATCAAGCCTCTATTAGGCTCTGGAACTACATGAAAACTGAACAAAGAATTCTGAAAATCCGCCCTGAGGTACTTATGTATATACTGACCCTATATCCATAATCATTTATATACTGAACCTATATCCATAATCAGATCCTCCGCAGATGTGTCCTATAATGTGCAATTCATGATAATAGCACTTCCTGGTTTGCCGCAATCGCTTTTTTTGTGTATAAAAACATTATTTTTTTCATTAAAACGTTCACAAATAATTCTGAAAACCTCCGTGCATGTGTATTAATAATGTATATGTATAATGTGTTCTCTGATTAACATTTCAAAGTGTTACGGAAACGTAGGTGTAGACCAATCAGAAAGGAAGGGGGAGGGAGCTTGCGTAGTTTTTTTCAAATCAAGTACGTCTCTGTCTCTCTTTCTGACAAACTCCAGGCAATCACTTTAACTCAGAGTTCCTTAACCCACCCACAGACAGTTGTAGGCATCCATGCTTTTCCAAGCCTTCATTTGTTTAGCAGTGCAAAAGCTTTATTGTAACACTGGATAGTTTGAGATATCCGGGAACTGAACTGGCGGATATTTTTCTAACTCGCAAATCAAATAATTCTTGGATAACGGATTAGGATCTATACCGTTACACAATTTGACTTTTTCGATGTATCAATCTCGAGAATTACCCATTGAGTTGACGTAATTATTCCCTCACGTTTACACGACACTCTGTCCAATAGGCAGCCTCTATGTGTGTGTGCAGGTTCAGTCTCGATGTGGCAGTAATGAGAACATTCTGAGAGCCAGTAAGTTCAGTAAGAGACCTTTCTGTTTTTCTCTCATAAATATCAGCTCCCCTTGTTGTGCTGCGTCTGTTTTATTTGACTCCATCTGTCTGTGTTCAGGCCACAGTGCAGTGGACATCAGTAAAGTAGCGCGACGTCACCGCATGTCTCCTTTCCCGCTGACGTCGATGGACAAAGCCTTCATCACTGTTCTGGAGATGACGCCCATCCTGGGAATCGAAGTTATAAACTACAGAGGTGAGTGTAGCCATTGCCGTTGGAGTTTTTTTAACAACAGCAAATATCTTGCAAAATTGTCCTTTTATCATACACAAAAACATCTTTGTTTGACCTTGAAATTTCCACTGTGGGACGAATAAAGGATTTCTTATCTTATACGACTGTGTTCCCTCATCAAAAACCTTTTTGATTTTATTCAAATATTGCTTCTTTCCCATCGCGTTGTATTGGCACCTCCTCTCCAACTGAAATAGAATTATAGACCATTCTAAAACTAGAACATACTAAAACTACACACTAAAACTATCCAAATTATACACCCCTGTGGACTAGTGTTGAAAATGTGCTATAACACTTACAGCAATGCATCTGGTTCATTCAATTTTATTATGTCAATATTAAATAAATTAATCCAAATAAAATAAAATGAATAATTTCCAGTTTCAACCACTAGATGGCAGTGTTTCTCACTCTAGTCATCACTGTCCAAGACGCAAAAATAACATAAATACTGCATTAAAAAAATTTTCTTTGCATTTACACACTCAAATTAATCTTTTAGGCATTCCCTGTTAGAGCTGGATCAGTCTAGTTCAAAGCAGTATACAGTGCCTTGCGAAAGTATTCGGCCCCCTTGAACCTTTCAATATGTCACCACATTTCAGGCTTCAAACATAAAGATGTATAATTTTTTTTTTTTGTCATGAATCAACAACAAGTGGGACACAATCGTGAAGTGGAACGAAATTTATTGGATAATTTAAACTTTTTTAACAAATAAAAAACTGAAAAGTGGGGCGTGCAATATTATTCGGCCCCTTTACTTTCAGTGCAGCAAACTCAGTCCAGAAGTTCAGTGAGGATCTTTGAATGATCCAATGTTGTCCTAAATGACTGATGATGATAAATAGAATGCACCTGTGTGTTTATCAAGTCTCCGTATAAATGCACCTGCTCTTTGATAGTCTCAGGGTTCTGTTTAAAGCGCAGAGAGAACCATGAAGACAAAGGAACACACCAGGCAGGTCCGAGATACTGTTGTGGAGAAGTTTAAAGCCGGATTTGGATACAAAAAGATTAAACATCTCAAGGAGCACTGGGCAAGCAATTATATTGAAATGGAAGGAGTATCAGACCACTGCAAATCTACCAAGACCCAGCCGTCCCTCCAAACTTTCATCTCAAACAAGGAGAAGACTGATCAGAGATGCAGCCAAGAGGCCCATGATCACTCTGGATGAACTGCAGATAACTACAGCTGAGGTGGGAGAGTCTGTCCATAGGACAACAATCAGTCGTGCACTGCACAAATCTGGCCTTTATGGAAGAGTGGCAAGAAGAAAGCCATTTCTCAAAGATATCCATAAAAAGTCTTGTTTAAAGTTTGCCACATGCCACCTGGGAGACACACCAAACATGTGGAAGAAGGTGCTCTGGTCAGATGAAACCAAAATCAAACTTTTTGGCCACAATGCAAAACGATATGTTTGGTGTAAAAGCAACACAGCTCATCACCCTGAACACACCATCCCCACTGTCAAACATGGTGGTGGCAGCATCATGCTTTGGGCCTGCTTTTCTTCAGCAGGGACAGGGAAGATGGCTAAAATTGATGGGAAGATGGATGGAGCCAAATACAGGACCATTCTGGAAGAAAACCTGTTGGAGTCTGCAAAAGACCTGAGACTGGGACAGAGATTTATCTTCCAACAGGACAATGATCCAAAACATAAAGCCAAATCTACAATGGAATGGTTCACAAATAGACGTATCCAGGTGTTAGAATGGCCAAGTCAAAGTCCAGACCTGAATCCAATCGAGAATCTGTGGAAAGAGCTGAAGACTGCTGTTCACAAACGCTCTCCATCCAACCTCACTGAGCTCGAGCTGTTTTGCAAGGAAGAAAGATGTGCAAAATTGATAGAGTCATACCCCAAGCGACTTGCAGCTGTAATTGCAGCAAAAGGTGGCGCTACAAAGTATTAGCTCAAGGGGGCCAAATAATATTGCACGCCCACTTTTCAGTTTTTTATTTCTTAAAAAAGTTTAAATTATTCAAAAAATGTCGTTCCACTTCACGATTGTGTCCCACTTGTTGTTGATTCTTGACAAAAAAAATATTTTTTATATCTTTATGTTTGAAGCCTGAAATGTGGCGAAATGTTGAACGGTTCAAGGGGGCCGAATACTTTCGCAAGGCACTGTAAATGTAGCTTCTTCTTTCCCCATTTCTGAGCTGCCGGCTTGATGAAATGGCTACTGTTAACACTTGAGCAATCTATGGAAATATGACAATTATAATTGCATTTCTGTGTGTGACATTTTTGTGTGTGTGCTTTTTATTGTTCAGATGGATTGGGCCGGGTGCTAGCTCAGGACATCTATGCCAAAGACAACCTTCCTCCATTCCCTGCATCTGTAAAAGATGGTTATGCTGTCCGAGGTGAGAAATGACATTTGTACTAACGTGGTATACTGCTTTTATTATTATTTTTTTTTTACTTAACATTGCTTTTAGGAATTGGCCGCATTGGAAAAAATCAGAAATATTATCTCTCTCATTTTAAAGATGTCTAACCCATCTGACATATCACAGTGTTGAAACAATGAATGCATTTCTATAAGCTCTGGAGGTCTTGTAAATAAATATTTGCAAACTTTAGGGTGATAGTTAATGTGTGGGAGAGGACATTTTACTACAAAGTCCTTTAGTCTTCGTATGTGCAACTTCAATGCAAAATCAGAGTTAATAAACACCATATAAACTTTTGCCTGTTATGCCGCTTTTCCACAATACACGGTACAGCACGGTACGGTACGGCAACTTTTGGACCATCCTGTAAAGGTTTTTTCGAGAGGTAAGAAGATGCTATATGTTAGCATTGGCTAATTCTTATTCCGGGTCCACCCCCATCGGCCCGGGGTGGTATTGCAGCATGTCAGCGCACCTCATTTTGGCCACTTTTGAGCTGGGACCCGCCCCCACTGGGCACGGGTTGGCGCGGCCGATTGTGGGTGCTTTACCATTAAATATGGTACCTCCAAGTTTCTCCTCAGCGTGGGAGGGGTTGTCAGACCACGTAATTTAAGCGCAATGCGTAACTAGTAACATTGGTCTGATGTCACTTTTTGTCATTTGAAATAAAATGTTTTTAGTTCGAGTTCAAAACAAAACTTAGATTTACAATATACATGTGTTTTCAACTCGAAAAAAGAGTGAGAAGTAAAAAAGGAATATATGATAAAAATCATATGCCTAAACATTTCTTTTGCCCTTGTGTTTTGATCAAAAATAAAACCTTTTTGTATTTAGCAAACATGCCTCCATCCTCGTTCATAAATTTACCATGGTTATACGGATTTACTGACAAATATAATGTATGTAATGCAGGGATTAAAGAGTTCCGTCTAGGTGACGGATTTCCGTCAAATGAAATTGGTCTGGAAAAAAAATATATATATATATATATAATGATAATAATACACACAATGAAATGATTGATTATAAAAATAATATATAGTAATACATATACGTGTGAATCTGTTATATATATATATCGATGTATAATAATAATTTGAATATAATTGTATTTATATGTATATAGAAATAATAAGTAATATAATCACGAGTGGGCCTTGAACGTGCCGTGGCCACATGAGCGCTCCGCAAATGAATCAAGGCAATGGGACGTAGCTGAGCTCACGCGCAAATGAAGACGCGATGAAGTTAGCATTGGTAACACGGAGGTGAAAGTTTCTGGAAACTGCACGGAGCTTTTGAAAAGGAGAAGAGGAGGAAAATTAAATCTCGAACGGAGCGATAACAGCAGCAGATCCGCGGACTGGTAAGCTGGGCGCGTAATAGACGAAAGGTAATTAACGTTTACCAAACGCAATGCTATTTTACTTAACGGAATGTACAAAACGGACTTTGCTGCAACTGGGAATGGGTCACAAACATGTCTTGGTGAGCTTTTGATATTGTCTTGTTTGCGATCTTCTTGCAAAACTCAGCGTGATGTAAAAGAGCCAATCAATGAGTCATGGTGCGAAAAGATGAAAGTGGCCGGTTCTTGTGCGTACTTTGCCATAAAAAATTGCATATATGGGAGCAGGGCTGGACTGGCCATCGGGCGTACCGGGCAATGCCAGAAGGGCCGATGCCCATATTTGGGCCGGTCTGTTTGCCTCATACAAAAAAGATGTTTGTGAAAAGTGTAAATCCGTTGAGAACTGTTCGAGGGGGCGCGCGTGTCCGCCGGGCACCTGCTGTATGTACTCGAACGGGATTCTACCACCTCAGCGGCCGCAGTGTTCCCGCATCCAGCGGCTCTGAGCTGGACGCGGGAACCGCTCACCGGGAGCCGCTCACAACACAACACGGTGAGCGCGTAGCCGCAACGTGACCATACCCAAGACCATAAACGTGCACAGGACCATGCGTGTCTTTGCGTAATTTGTGCACCCAATAAATACACCGCTGCAGGAAACAGTCCGCGTCTCCCCTCTCCTCTCGAAGTGCGACTAAATTAAAGCTCGGGTGCCTAAATTTCCCATTGCATTAAAAGTTCATGTTTGAGCCCAAAAGTAAAATGTTGTGAAAAAATTAAACAGATTTAGAGCCAGCAAATGGCTGACATTATGCATTTAAGACTTTTTTGACCAATTCTCATCCCTGTAACAAACAACAGTGTTGTCTGTGTCCACCTCCCTCACTCTGAGACATGTTTATTACTCTCTTGTAATGTAGACTATTGCACTTTATTTTTTTGTTGAAACTGTAGATATCCTGATCCTCTACAGTATGCTTCCATATACTGTATAAACCAGGGGTCGGCAACCTTTAGTGCTCCTCCAGTGGCTCCTGGAGCCTTTTCAAAAATGTCTGAAAATGGAGTGGGAGGGCTATATTTTATTCCTAATTTGAATGTGGTTTCTGTAGGAGGAAAAACATTCCTAACGTATTTCAATGCTGTAAAAATGTGTATAAGTAATATTCAATTTCAACATTTCTGTCAACGTAGTGAGTCATATCCTGTGGCGCGGCCCCGCGGCAGACGGCCGCTGCTGTAAACAAACCGGCGTGTGCGCACGGATCCCAAAGATAAAAAGAGAACGAGTCGATAATAAGACTGGACTAAGGATCAAGACTGAAAATTTGCTCTTAGTCAATGAGGAAGGACTGCTTCATGTTTGCGATGTAATAGGAAGTTTTGTTGCAACACGAGGAACAATGAAGCACTAAATACCGTTCACAGGGATTACGTGAAGGATTCTTTCATACAAAATCCGGAGCACCTTTTTCAGACTTCAAAGACTGTGAAAGAAAAGGCCATTAAGGACATTCAGCTCCAGCAAACTTCAGCCTGTGATGTAATCGATATGAGCGGACAGTGCAGGTGTGTGACCTTTGAGCCAAAAAGCAGATTTATTTACTGTATTTCTGCAGTTGCATGAAGGCAAAAAAATGGAAGTCAAAGTTAAAGCAGAGTCATCACGTGGTGCGTCATTCTCTCCAGGACACGCTGCAGTGAAAACACACATTTGACAATCATGAATGCTAATCATGTATTTGTAGCCTTTACTTGGTCATTTAGATCAGCCATTCCCAAACTCAGTAACACCGAGGCCCCCTTAAAAATCTGACGGGTCTGCGTGGCCCCCCAAAATAATAACCAAGAAGACAACATTAAGAATAGGCTCTTCTGGTTATTTTATTTTGGGGAAATAGCCTCTGCTACAAACATTGTAATACAAAAATGATTACAGTGGATTATTCAAGTCAAATCATGAACACAAATATTTTAATATTACAAACAAAACATTATAAATGTAACATTAAATAATTATATATATATTTTTTTTTATTTTATGACCTCCCGCGGCCCCCCTGCAGTACCCACGCGGCCCACCAGGGGGCCGCGGACCCCACTTTGGGAGACACTGATTTAGATAATAGGCTAATGTAGCTAATGTAGCTACATTGTGTAACCTTCATATAAGCTTTATACAAGGCTGTTATTTTTTTGCGGCTCCAGACAGATGTTTTTAGTATTTTTTGTCAAATATGGCTCTTTGAACCTTTTGAGTTGCCGATCCCTGGTATAAACAAACTGTAAAAAACGTGACAAAAACATGCCTGGGCCGGTAAGAAGGAAAAAATGCCCGGGCCGTTTTTTTGTCCCAGTCCAGCCCTGTATGGGAGTAATGAGAAAAAAGTTTTGATTCGCCACCAGCTCAAAACTACGCACAAGGCAGCTGTTTGTGCACTTTCCCACACTTCATCTTTACCTGGTGCATCAGCAACAACTGACACTAGGCTTGCTCTGGCGGACCGTGTCTGTGGCTTTATCGCAGAAAATAACGTTCAGAATATCACTACCGCTGGTACATTTATTTAAATCATTTGCAGTTGATCGAAGTGCACTGTGCACTCAAACTTGATAGGGAAACCTTTTTCTTAAATATTGACGTGTCCACAAACAAATGTGGACAGAATTGTATCGTCCTTTTGCGATATTTTGACGAGGACAGAGCCAAAGTGTTGACGCTCCATATCGCCTCAAGTAAAGCTACTCTCACTAATATTCAGTCAAAAAGTTTACTCGTTGCTTGATCCACTTATATTTCATATCAAAATACACTGTATATCTTTGAAGAATTCATTTGAGCTGTATTCAATATACAATCTATTATACAATAATATATTGTAATAAAAAATATAACTTGGTCCTGCATATTACTGTGATTTACATGTGATAAATTTCCATGCAAAAATTTTCAGTCAAATCTTTTTTTTTTGCTTTAACCCCTGATGTAATGTAAATAGAAGTGATGTGGTAGGAAATCGTAACTTTTGAACACATTTTATGCATGTGTACAGACGAATGAATGAAACAAAGTCTTCAATCACAGATTTATTAAAAACAAATGTAAAGTGCAAAACCAACAATTTACAAAGTCCAAAGTACGTATATCTCTGAGACCAGGTTCAGATGAGGGGAAAGTTAAGTACTCCGGTCACTCAATGCTCGTTGGTAATCTCCTCAAATGTAGAAAGGGAAGTACAAGCACAAAACAGAATGGCATAACGTGAAAGAGCAAAATACAGCACACTAGCACAGGATGAACATTTTAGCTTAGCTTACTATCGATAGCTAAATGTCGCATTCTCACTATGTACAACAGACAATAAAACTTTTACACGAGTAAATACATTTCAGTGAGAGCTTTGGGTACACGGGATATATAGTTAACTAGTTATTTCCAGGATTACCACAGACTAGTCACAAATGAAGCGCAATCTCCCTGAAAACCTTGTTCCGTGTTGTGCGTTCGATCTGCCTTTGAATCTTTCTTTGGCCTAAAGAGAGTAACGTGTGGACCTTGTCGACCGACCAGGACGCTGAATTTTGGGGCTTTCTGTGCGATTCCAGTTCTCTGGAGTGAGGAGGACATTATTAAAATAGATCCATGGGAGGATGTTTTGAAGCAGAGAAGCCAGTTTTAAAGATGACGGGGTTGTGTTGTTTTTACCATAGTGACCAATCAGTGTAAGGCAGTTGGCTGACGTCATGTCATGGTGTAGCTTCTGCTCACATGGAACCACTGTTGAGGTGGCACGAAAAACGTTCCCCCGATCCCAAGCCCTACCCTAGTGGAAATGCAAAATAACGGCACCGCGCCGTGCTGTACCGTACCGTTACTGTGGAAAAGCGGCATTAGCCTACAATAGCTGCGTTTCCATTGAATAATGCGCAAAAACTTTTTCGATACATTTCAAAATTCGAAAAACCTGTAATTCGCAAAAGCGGCCGTTTCCATTAAGACATATTCGAATAAGTATACACTATGGTCGCGCGTTTATTCACTAGTTTCTAGTACGTCAACATGGCAACAGAAGTAAACAACACTTTGATTTACGTGAGATATATTAATGTCTTGACTTCTGCTGCGGCTCTCATCCTCTCTGACCTCTGACCCCGGGAGAAACTGTGGCTGCTTTGACAGCTCCGCGAACGCGCGTGGTCATGTACCGAGCGTGGACCATAGACGCGCGCACAGAACCATAGACACGGGTCTTGCCTGTCTCCCCCGTCTCTCCCCCATGCCTCTCCCCCGTCTCCTCCCCGTCTCTCCCCCATGCCTCTTCCCCGTCTCTCCCCCGTCTCCTCCCCGTCTCTCCCCGTCTCTCCCCCATGCCTCTTCCACGTATCTTCCAAGTCTCCACACGAAGCGCAGCCAAAACTCACTGAATAAAGCTCAGCTCGGCTTCCTCCGCTATATCGAAATAAGTGTTTCCATTGCCGTTTTGCAAAAAACTTAATTTCGATACGTCCAAAAAACCACCTATTTTAAGCGCATTAACTTTTTATCGAAAAATTGTGGTTTATTCGAAATGTGCGCGTTTCCATTAGACATTTTATGATGCGCAAATTCAAATTTCGAAATTTGATGCTCAATGGAAACGCAGCTAATGTAGCATTAGACTTTTTGCTAAACTAGTAATTCAGTTGCTGGAATGTTAATCACCAATTGGTCATCCTGCCTCCAAGTTTTCAGAACACAATAGAGTTAAAGCAAATTAGTAATTAGAGAGTGTACCACATTAGCCAAACTTAAACAATAGTTAGCCTTAGGTAGTTCGAGTTAGCTTTAGTTAGTCAGAGTGAGCTGGAGTTGGCCATACTAGCAGTTTCTCTCTAATAATCTTTTAGAACGTGTAAGCCTACTGGACTAACGTTACATGCAACGTAGTAAGCAACATATTTATGACAAAATGTATATCAAAATATGCAGATAAAACAGTTCTCTACTGTCTGGTATGTCATTTTACTCAAATTTATAGAATGTATTTAGTTTAGTAATCATTACCTTGTGTCAAACTAATTACACAAAGTGACCTACACAGATGTATCCTCGCTACGTCAGTATATACACACTACTGTACTTAAATGTGTCATTTTCTCACTGACATATGCTTTCATTTCTATAAATAACAGCATTAACATCATGTCCATTGACCTTTAGCTGCTGATGGCCCTGGAGACCGCTTCATCATGGGGGAGTCTCAGGCTGGACAACAGGTCAGCCGGAATGCACTAACACCTCTAAATACATTATACAAATAAGGCCAATAATATTATTTGCTGTCAGAAGTCCACAGGCCACAGTACGCTGTTTTTTTGGGGGTTTTGTGATTTCTAATTAGGGCTGCAAAATTAATGATATCAGAAACATAATTTGTGTGGTTTTCTGTTAAATTACTTGAATACAACAACAAAATATTTAGAAAAGTTGCAGTCGAATCCCTATTCTAAGACTAGAGACTTAAACCTATCAACATTTGATTAAAAATGTATCCCAATGGAGAATTATTATCTGAAGTGTTAAGGAATTTAATGTTGGTTCAAAAATGGCTTGGTCCCAGGGATCAATTGACAATACTTTATTGACTAGGTATTAAAATAATGCAGTCACACATTTACCTGATTATGACTGTGCTTGTTCAGCCCACCCACACAGTGATGCCGGGGCAGGTGATGCGCGTGACAACCGGAGCTCCAATCCCATGTGGAGCTGACGCTGTGGTGCAAGTGGAGGACACAGAGTTGTTGAGAGAATCTGAAGATGTGAGTTTTTGAGCAAGAAAAGATCTCCGTTCAACCATGTCCAATTTTGTTTTGTGAATAGTTTGTAAGCATTTAAATTACTGCAACAGTTTCTTAATCCATTTGCTATGGATGTGCATATATTTTCTATTACTTCACATTCTGAAAAATGAATGGCCAAATTGAATATTCTCAAAATCATGTTAAGCATGTTTAGAACAATTTAAGTAGAAAATATATGGGGTAGTAAGTATGAAGTAAAAAAAGGTTTTGGTTAGGGATGTAAAGAACTATGAATTTTCATGACCGACCACCGAGCCTCATTAACCGGTTGAAACCGGTTAACCGCGTAGTTTAAAATAGTCCACGTTCTTTGAAATAACAGCCATTTCGAGCCGCGTACTTTTCATAAGTGCAGCTCTGCGTTCTACTGGATCAGAGTTGAGACAGCGGCGCCCAAACCCGCAACAGCTCCGGCACCTTTGCGCACAGAGAACTGCTTTTTTAATCTTCCCATTCTGCTGTGCTGCGGGTTAAAACCAAAACTTTCTAGCAGCAAACGACGGCTCGTTCACATGGTCAGAGCAGCGAGTGACGAGCCGCGTCTCACAGGTCTCCACTAAAGTTTAAATACAAGTGATGTGTGTGGAGCTGATCCCGAGGACCATAAACACAAACATGGTCCATGTGGTTTGACTGGAGCCGCGTATTTGCGCGAATCCTTTGGGCTCCGTGACACAGAGGAGCGCGACAGACCGGTATGTGTGTGTGTATGTATGTGTGTGTGTATGTATATGTGTGTGTGTGTGTAAATGTAAGGTCCAATATAGTTCTGACCCGCGCCAGTGTGCAACTTTGACGGTCAAAGAGGGGAGAGATGATGCGTGTGGATGTTACGTATGGAGAAGGGGAAAAAGTGCGCGTGCGTGTGTTTGTGCATATGTGGCGCGTGCGGCGTGAGAGTCGTCCCGGAGTTTACTGATACATTGGCGCACACAGCTAGAGACAGACCCGCTCGTCACATCGTGCAAATAGGGCTTAAAATAGCGTTATTAAGAGACCTCCCCTCTCCCCTTTTTCTCTTTTTAACCGACAGCTTTGACCGGTTAACGCTGTGACGGTCAACCACCGGTTAAACGGTCGCCGATTTACATCCCTAGTTTTGGTTTTGGTTTAATTAATTAAGGACAATGTGTAGAGCTACAGCTATTGAATATTTTTGATATAAAAATTCTAAATATTTTTGTTTAATTCTGTGTAAATTATAATTACACAATATGAAATGACAAATCACTTAGCAGTATTTAATATACTTGCTTCTTTATTATGCTAAAGTTAGGGAAAAGATATGGAAAAGATATGAACTTCTGCTATTAAGAAGCAACAATGATTACATTTGTCAACTAGATGTCTAGATGGCTTCATCTTGGATTGTGGTAGGCTAGCACCATCCTGCATCCAGAGCTTTCTGTGTCGTCTTCCATTGTGAGCAGTGTTCAATCTATGGAGCTATGTGGGCAAAAAAAATTAACAATTTTAAGTGAAGAGTATTTAAAAGACCAGCACTGTGTAGTGCAGGACAGTAAGGCAAGGCAAGGCAAGTTTATTTATATAGCACAATTCATACACAAGGCAACTCAAAGTGCTGAACAAGATAGCATTAAAATCATAAATAATCACAGAACATTAAAAAGAAAGATAAAAATATAAAATCCCTCAGTTGTATGCACAGCTAAACAGCACCGTTTTTAACTTGGTTTTAAACATTGTCAGAGAGGAGGCCTGTCTCACATCTTCAGGAAGATTGTTCCAGTACAGTACTAGTATCCGTGGCGTAAACATGTTGTGCAACACATAAAGAATCCATGCGAAACGTGATCATACTATTACAGGACTGAGACAGGAACGCATATTAAATTACAGGATATTTTAGGCAGAAGGGGCGAAGCTACAAGTTTGTGCCAGAAGTTCCTGATATTAGCCTGGATGCATCTAAAAACGATGGTACTGTAGGTCTGTTTTTTTATCAGTAAACAATGTTGTGACTTGGTTAAAAACTCAAAAAAGTCTATAAATAAACATAGCAAGACAAGTTTATTCTATCTTTGGATTAGGTCACAATTTGACAATAATTTTGGTTTATTGTGGGATTCTTGATGCAAATTACGTCTAACTCAAAACTGAGATTATCTGTACTACTTGTCTTGTCAATCCATCATACTCGGACACTTCTGCTAAATAGATACACAATTAATGGAAATGTGTAGAATTGTTTGCGTTAGTAAACAGTCGATGGGTTAACCAAACAATATTGGTTTGTTGTTCAAGTACACACATCCATTCATTTTATCTCTTAATCCCCTTTTGTTGTTTTAGGGCACTGAGGAGCTGGAGGTGAGAATTATGGTCCAAGCCCGACCCGGACAAGACATCAGGTAAATAATAAAGAGATTGAATACAAAGCAGGGAATACGCACAACACTTTCTATTTATATGATCCAAAAAATATTATCAATATTTTGTCTTATTGTGGGGAAAGGGCACCTGATTAAAATAGGAATTATAGTGTTACACAAATACATCTGCATTTTGAGTGTGGAAATGCATTGACATAACATTAAGAAGAGCTGCGTTCTCGAGCTGATAATGCCTCACAATATTGGCTCTATTTACAACGAGCACATTGGTATTACACTTGGATGATTCCATTCAATTTTATTTGTTTATGTATAGCACTGAACAGCAGTCTTCTCAGAGAAGCAAATGAACACCAGAAATGCTTAACTGTGAACTGCCAGATCTGTGGTTATGTGGGATGTTTTTATTAACTATTACAGCTCCAAGGTTTTAGTGCTGCTTATAGATTGCTTTTAGCCAGTGGTAATTCTCAATGTCCATAGCATTTACACACAAAACACGGTTACTGTTCTTGCTCCTTCCCAGGCCCATCGGTCATGACATCCGTAGAGGGGAGTGTGTCCTGTCCAAGGGCACCCACATGGGCCCCTCAGAGATTGGACTCCTGGCCACAGTGGGAGTCACCGAGGTCAGCGTGCACAAGTTCCCCGTAGTGGCCGTCATGTCGACTGGAAACGAGGTAAAGGCAGTGATGGGCAGTAGCGTTGCTACAAGTAGCGTCGCTACTAGCTTAACTACATTTTTCAGTAGCTTTACAGTAGCGTCACTATTTACAAAACCTAGTAACTTTTCTGTAGCTAAGCTATATTATTGCTCAAGTAGCGCGGTAGCGTCCGCCAAAGCTATTTTCTCACGGACATCTCTGATGTTCATATATTACAGCATTTTCCCGCAGCATAAAACATTCATTCATTAATTTTTAAGCCCTTTATTGTCCATTTCTGGGTCAGGGGGGTGGCAATGAGAGCTGCCACCCAATGCTCATAGCACCAGTCCCTTTGATCTTCTGCAGGGGGTGAGTCCACAGGAAGATGGCTGCTCCGTCAGCGGTGAAACAGCCTTAGTCTTTCAGCGGGGGCTTCAGGCAGCGGGGGGGTTAAGTGTCTTGCCCAAGGACACAACGACAGTAGACATCAGTGGGAGCAGTTGGAGTAGGTCCCAAGGTGGGAATCGAACTCACGACCTCCGGGCTCAAAGGCCACTGCTCTACCAACTGAGCTACTGTAGCATAAAACAAACATTTAGTAAGACAGAATGCTGATGCGCATGCGCAGGGCTTGGTAACGACACACACACACACACACGCACACACATGCGCGCGCGCTACTGGGGGAAGCAAAAGCATGGCAGAGAGCCCAGGAGCCGCCGCGGTGGAGGAGGACCATGATAAGGACAAAGTGTTGTACCGTGGCCATACCTCCAAAAGTACGTCACTCCAGTCGAGATGAGCGAAAAGAAATATGTTTTCAGATGCCTACTCTTTGTTGTTTTTGGTGTTTTGGGCTATTGTTCAATAAATATCTACAACATTTTAACCTTTATCTGACTGACAGTTTATCTCAAATAAGAAGATAAGCTTTATTAATCTCACACAGGAGAAATTTACATGTCACATTTGGCATGGATAAAACACAAGAATTGTGCAAAAAATAAGATATGAGAAAACATGTTAATGCAGGAAAATATAAAATTGCAGGAACTGCAGTTTGTTTAATTGAAAAGAGCTTCTATATAGCAAGCTACTTTTGACAGAATTTTGTAACTTAGCTTGCTACATTTGTATGGGTGGTAGCTTCTGTGTAGTGAAGCTGAATTTATTGTAGAGTAGCTTGTAGCTTAGCTCACTACACAAATCAAGTAGCTTGCCCATCACTGGGTAAAAGCACTTATATGATTCCCGTCAGTAAGTTAAAGCGTAAATATGATGCATTATTTGGTGACACTGACATCTACCAATGCGTTTATGTTTGAAAAGGAATTACAAGTTATGATTCTATAAGACTTTTACATTTCTATAAATGTAAAAGTCTATAGACTGTCTCTGTTTGAACCTGAAAGTGTTGTGAATAGGATATGGACTTCAAAGTTTGTGTTAATAACCAGTTAAAAATAAAGTAAGAAAGGCATGAAGTACCGAGAGGTGAGCAATAATGCATCCACCTTTGCGAGCGTGCATGCTTTAACTAATAAATTTTGATATCTTATTTTGGTTTCTGCCCTGAACTTGTGTATGTGTTTTTCTAAAATTGTGAACTTAAATGGTTTGGTGTCTCTATCGATAGCTAAATGTCACATTTGTCTCTGATTATGGTATTTCACATTAAACAAAATAAAAACATCAATATGTTTCAAGCACATAAAGAAAGAAAGGCATTCGGAAAAAAATAAAGAGATAAGTGAACCTTTATTTGTACCACAGTGCAAAGCCCTGGCAAACCAAGATGGCGTCCTATTCAAATGAATGGCTTGTGCTCAGTAGCGCTTGGGACATGCATGAGGACCAAGAGATTAGCAGAACTTCCCAAATTTGGGCAACGTCTGGACCTCCCGGATCTGCGCCGTGGTCGAGCTCCCAGTGTGCCAAATACGCGTGTGTGGCTCTCATGCATGTGCACAGAGGGGCTTGGCCACGCTCTGACCAATCAGAGCTGCTGATCAGAGCGGTGCCAGAGCGGGGAAAAAATGAGCAGAGTTTGCTGCATTAAATTGTGGATTTAAAGAAAACTGAAGGATTTAAGATCCTTCAGTTAAGTTCAGTAGGACAAGGGACACTAAAATCCCCACAAAATCCGATCTTTATGAAAGCTGTTGGTTTTCTGTCAGCTGAGGTCGAGCCGTTTTCAGTTTGCATTGATTTCAATGGAAAATTTTTCTGGGTAGCCCACGTGAATTTAGTCTGCAGTACTGTGAGTGCCCCCTGTGCCCATGGGCGGGACAGCTATAAGCTAGTGATACCATATACAGATATTATTATTATTTTAGATCCATGTGCGCACACAGCAGTGTGCAGCAGTGTAAGAATAAAACAAGCAATAAATAAACTCGACGTAGTTATTTTTTGTTGCTTTCTTCTTATTTTAAGCTGCTGAATCCAGAAGACGACCTCCACCCCGGAAAGATCCGCGACTCGAACCGCTCCACTCTGCTGGCCACCATCCAGGAGCACGGCTACCCCACAATCAACCTGGGCATCGTGGGTGACAAGTACGGCAAACTATACCTTACTACAGTGTTTCCCAGCAGGCATGCTGATTTTCAAAACTTGCATCAACATAGATAGTACTTTAAGGTAGTATTTAACATGGGCTATTATGGCATGTTATACATAATTTTAAAGCTTCAGTTCTCTGGAGAACAACCAATCATGTATTTATTGACAATATTGAACCTAGGGCACAATTATAGATAATAAATGCTAAGCATGCTCTCATTTTGTTTGAATCTAAGAAGTCTTAATTAAAAAGTTAGTTAATTAAAAGCAACAATGCAAAGATTACTGCATTACAAGACAATAAAAATAAAAACATAGTTAAGTTATTAAAATGTTTTCTATAAAGAAAGTAGAGGACCTTAGTATTATTACAGTGAGGCCTAAAAAGAGAGTACTCATGCCCTGTCTACGTTGGTGAGGGCGTACACAGCGCCTAAAAAGAGGGTTGGAATCCACTGCCTTAGAAAAATATACAATTCTTTGGATGTACAGTTTTTACAATGTGGTCTTGTTTTCAGCCCTGATGATCTGCTCTCTGCTCTCCACGAGGGCATCAGTCGTGCCGATGTCATCATCACCTCAGGAGGGGTGTCCATGGGAGAGAAGGTAAAACTGTGCAGTCATCACATCACATTTTTTTTACTTCATGTTAATACATTTGGGCTGCAGAAGTGCTTTGTAATTAAAATAAAACTGTTTCAGGATTATCTGAAGCAGGTCTTGGACATTGACCTTCATGCTCAGATCCACTTCGGACGTGTCTTTATGAAGCCAGGGTAAGAAAAACACAAATTATCTTCTTTGAGCTTATACCCATGCTATTAGTTATGGTACCATTTCTTAGAACATTGTTCCCACATCAAAAACAGACAGGAATTGTTTTTCACTTCATCCACGTTAATATCAGGATCTTCCCCCACAAATTGATAAATAGTATTTAGACAGACGGGATTTTGTGACAAACTTGTTAGGCTATGACAAATTCTAAAGTTCTGTTCCCACCGGACCAAGTGGTGCACAGGGTTAATTACGGTAAGGTGCTGTATGTCGCCGTGAATATTTGCATGTGCGTTACAGCACGTTAGTCCAGCGCAGCAGATGCATTTGTGCGGTGCAGCAGGTGTGCCTGTGGCACATTACTGGTGCAATCCACTTACCAGCAGCTGAGATAGGTGGATTGCATTATAAATCCACCTGCTAGCTAAAACAGTACAGTAAGGCAAGGTAAGTTTATTTGTATAGCACAATTCATACACAAGGCAACCGAAAGTGCCAAACAAGACAAGATGGCATTAAAATCATAAATAATCACAGTATATTAAAAAGAAAGATAAAAATATAAAGTCCCTCCGTTGAATGCACAACTAAACAGAACTGTTTTTAACCTGGATCTAAACATTGTCGTAGAGGAGGCTTGTCTTACATTATCAGGAAGATTGTTCATATGGCACTAACTTGTCACTAATATATTTTGGTGCGAGGCCATGGAGAGACACAAGCAGAGCTGTTTTAAAGTCTATTCTCTGGGCCACAGGAAGCCAGTGCAGAGACCTGAGGACTGGACTATTGTGATCGTACTTCCTGGTTCTAGGTATTGCAGCTGTTTGGAGAGACCTGTGAGCAGGCTGTTACAGCAGTCTAACCTACTGGAGACAAATGCATGGACAAGAATCTCCAAGTCTGCTTTAGACACTTTTTTTGATCCTGGCAATGTTTTTTAGATAGTAAAAAGCTGCTGATGTTACTGATGTTACTGATTTGATGTAAGTAGTAGTAGTAAGTAGTAATCTTTATTTATATACCGCCTTTTCACTGCACATCGGAGTCTCAAAGCGGTTTTAGTTAACAGTTGTTATTTTTGGGAGTGGGGGTCGCCAGTACAGGAGGCACATGCCAGACCATCCATCCATCCATTTTCTTTCGCTTTATCCGTTGCCAGGTCGCGGGGGCAGCAGTCTAAGCAGAGACGCCCAGACTTCCCTATCCACACACACTTCCTCCAGCTCGTCCGGGGGGACTCCAAGGCGTTCCCAGGCCAGCTGAGAGACATAGTCCCTCCAGCGTGTCCTAGGTCTTCCGCGGGGCCTCCTCCCGGTGGGACGTGCCCGGAACACCTCCCCAGGGAGGCGTCCAGGAGGCATCCGGAACAGATGCCCGAGCCACCTCAACTGGTTCCTCTCGACGTGGAGAAGCAGCGGCTCTACTCCGAGCTCCTCCCGTGTGACTGAGCTCCTCACCCTATCTCTAAGGGAGCGCCCAGCCACTCTGCGGAGGAAGCTCATTTCGACCGCTTGTATCCGCGATCTCGTTCTTTCGGTCATTACCCAAAGCTCATGACCATAGGTGAGGGAGGGAACGAAGATTGACCGGTAAATCGAGGGCTTTGCCTTTCGGCTCAGCTCCCTCTTTACCACAACGGTTTGATACAGCGACCGCATCACTGCGCACGCTGCACCGATCCGCCTGTCAATCTCACGCTCCATTCTTCCCTCACTCGTGAACAAGACCCCGAGATACTTGAACTCCTCCACTTGAGGAAGGACCTCTCCACCCACCTGCAGAGGGCAAGGCACCTTTTTCCGGTCGAGCACCATGGCCTCGGATTTGGAGGTGCTGATTCGCATCCCAGCCGCTTCACACTCGGCTGCAAACCGCCCCAGTGCATGCTGCAGGTCCTGGTTCGTTGGAGCCAACAGGACAACATCGTCCGCAAACAGCAGAGATGAAATCCTGTGGTCTCCGAACCGGACCCCCTCCGACCCCTGGCTGCGCCTAGATATTCTGTCCATAAATACAGTGAACAGAACCGGTGACAAAGGGCAGCCCTGTCAGAGGCCAACATTCACCGGGAACAGGTCTGACTTACTGCCGGCAATGCGAACACAGCTCTGGCTCCGGTCATACAGGGATCGGATGGCCCTCAGCAGAGGACCTCCAACCCGTACTCCCGGAGAACCCCCCAAAGGACACCCCGGGGAACACAGTCGAACGCCTTCTCCAAATCCACAAAGCACATGTGGACAGGTTGGGCGAACTCCCATGAACCCTCGAGTATCCGATGGAGAGTATAGAGCTGGTCCAGTGTTCCGCGACCGGGACAAAAACCACACTGCTCCTCCTGGATCCGAGATTCGACCATCGGCCGTAACCTCCTCTCCAGTACCTTGGAGTAGACCTTACCGGGGAGCCTGAGGAGTGTGATCCCACGATAATTGGAACACACCCTCCGGTCCCCCTTCTTGTAGAGAGGGACCACCACCCCGGTCTGCCACTCCATTGGCACTGCCCCCGATCGCCACGTGATGTTGCAGAGACGTGTCAGCCAAGACAGTCCTACAACATCCAGAGACTTTAGATAATCAGGGCGGATCTCATCCACACCCGGAGCCTTGCCACCATGGAGGCTACCAACCACCTTGGTGACCTCAGCCAGGGAGATGGATGTACCCGCCCCAACATCCTCAGCCTCTGCCTCTGTAACAGAGGACGTGACGGGGGGGATTGAGGAGAACCTCAAAGTATTCCTTCCACCGCCCGACAATATCCCCAGTCGAGGTCAGCAGCTCTCCACCCGCACCGTACATGGTGTTGGCAAAGAACTGCTTCCCCCTCCTGAGGCGCCGGATGGTTTGCCAGAATCTTTTCGAGGCCGACCGATAGTCATGCTCCATGGACTCTCCGAACTCCTCCCAGTCCCGGGTTTTTGCCTCTGCAACAGCCCGGGCCGCGGCACGCTTGGCCTGCCGCTACTGGACAGCTGCCTCAGGAGTCCCCCGAACCATTATGGCTCGATAGGACTCCTTCTTCAGCCTGACAGCATCCCTTACTGCCGGTGTCCACCACCGGGTTCGGGGGTTGCCGCCGGGACCAGCACCCGAGACCTTGCGACCACAGCTACGAGCCGCCGCATCGGCGATTGAGGCAGAGAACATGGTCCACTCGGACTCCATGTCCCCCTCCTCCGCCGGGACCTGGGAGAAACTCTCCCGGAGGTGTGAGTTGAAAGTCCGTCTGACAGGGGGCTCAGCGAGACGTTCCCAGCAGACCCTCACTATACGCTTGGGTCTGCCAGGTCTGACCGGCTTCTTCCCCTGCCAGCGGATCCAACTCACGACCAGGTGATGATCGGTTGACAGCTCCGCCCCTCTCTTTACCCGAGTGTCCGAGACACGCGGTCGAAGGTCAGATGATACGACAACAAAGTCGATCATCGACCTCCGGCCAAGGGTGCCCTGGTGCCACGTGAACTGGTAGACACCCCTGTGCTCGAACATGGTGTTCGTGATGGACAAACTGTGACTGGCACAGAAGTCCAACAACTGAACACCGCTCGGGTTCAGATCAGGGGGGCCGTTCTTCCCGATCACCCCTCTCCAAGTGTCACTGGCGTTTCCCACATGGGCGTTGAAGTCCCCCAGGAGAATAACGGAGTCCCCGGGCGGTGCACCGTCCAGTACCCCTCCCAAGGACTCCAAGAAAGCCGGGTACTCTACACTGCTGTTAGGCCCGTAGGCCGTCACAACAATGAGAGACTTGTCCCCCACCCGGAGGCGGAGGGACGCGACCCTCTCATTCACCGGGGAGAACTCCAACACGTGGCGGCTGAGATGGGGGGCAATGAGAATGGCCACCCCAGCTCGCCACCTCTCCCCGCGGGAAACTCCAGAAAAGTGGAGCGTCCAACCCCTCTCAAGGAGTTGGGTTCCAGAGCCCAAGCTGTGTGTGGAGGTGAGGCCGACTATCTCTAGTCGGTATCGCTCAACCTCCCCCACAAGCTCGGGCTCCTTCCCCCCCAGTGAGGGGACGTTCCACATCCCGAGAGCCAGATGTTGTGTGTGCGGACTGGGTCGCCGAGGTCTCCGCCTTCGACTGCCGCCCAGTCCTCTCAGCGCCGCTTCACCACGGACCCCTCTGCAGGTGGTGGGCCCACAGGAGGGGCCAGACCTATTGTACATATTTTTAGTGGTAGGGGAAACCGGAGCACCCGGAGGAAACCTACACAGACACGGGGAGAACATGCAAACTCCACTCAGAAAGGCCCTGGTCCAACCGGGATTCGAACCCAGGACCTTCTTTTGGCTATTAAAATTTAAGTCTGATTCCAGTATTACCCCTAGATTTCTGACCTTGTTTGAAGGTTTTAGGGAAAGGGACTGGAGGTGACAGATTATGCTCTCTCTTTGTTTCTGGGGAACAAAGACGATCATTTCGGTTTTGTTTGTGTTTAGCTGAAGGAAGTTGTTTTGCATCCACTCACTGACCTGTTGGATACAGTGAAGGAGTGAGTCCACTGGTCCATGTTCTCCTGCAGTCAGTGAGACATAGATTTGAGTGTCGTCTGCATAGTTGCGATAGGACACTTTGTTTCGGCGTATTAACTGACCTAACGGCAGCATGTAGAGATTGAACAGAAGAGGTCCCAGGATCGACCCCTGTGGTACTCCACAGGTCAGGGCCATATGATCTGAGACGGTTTCCAATCTCCACAAAGTACTTCTTGTCTTCAAGGTAAGACTTAGGGCCCGTCCCAATTCTCACCCTTGCCCTTAAAAAGCACCCTTGCCCTAGATTTTGCGCGTGCCCGCGGGGGTTGTAGGGTGTCCCAATACTTGGGGAGAAGAGGCGAGGGCCTTCACACCCTTAAAAACCACCCTTGAGCGCAAGTGAGGTCTGGAGTTCACTTGCGAGCGAGGGTTATCCCATGATGCATTAGGATAGTTGTTGGTAAAGTAGCTGTCGGGCAAAGCCACGCCACAATGAAAGAAAACAACATGAA